AAGAACATTTAATAAGCATTGATGTAAATACATGGTACCACTTGTCACCCAATGTTGCTAGCAAGGTACCTGGCTCTGGACAGGAATATCCCACATGCCAGGGTAACGCTACTGAAGATGCTCCATGGGAACTGCAGTAAGATGAGATGTGTTGCCCCCCTTGTATAACTGCTCTGACACCTGGAAATGAGCAAAATGTGGAATAAGCAGCCCTTAAATGCTCTGTATTGTGATAATGGAAACATGCATGACGCAGCCTTGAAAACTGGAGATCAGTCAGTACCTGCATAGTGGTCAACTCTAAATCTAACACGGGGTAGTTGGCTCACAGCAGCAAGGGAACACAAAAATGTCCATCAGTAAATATAACAGCAAGGGCACATGCAGTGGAAAATATATTTCTAGCCTATTTTAATGTTCATTATGTCTTACACTTTGCAGAAATCCTCTGAATGTAAGATTAGAGAAGGTGGTTGAGAATACTTCCTCCCATGAAATCCAGTAAATGATCAACATCAGTTGACTATATTAAAGAAAGTGGATTAAAAAAAAAAAAGAAAAAAGGTGGGAACTGTAAGATCCTCGTGAATATTTGACTGGAATTGGCTACATTAATTTGGCAGAGATGGACTTAGAAAAAACAAAATGTTCTAGCATGCTGAGCAATATTAAAGAGTGGTGTTATTTAATAACATAATAAAAATTGAATAGACTCAGAACATGAAAGAGGTTTATAGACAGTTCAAAGAGAGTGTAAAAATACAAATACAATATTAGAGTTTTAAAATGCAGCTTTCTTTCTGTTTATTGACAGCACAAGCTAGACAGACACATAAGATATGTACTTTAAAAGCAAAGAAACTATCCATTGAAAGTGTGACTGTGTAACAAAACATTTTGGAATGAAGATTTGGAACATTTAAGGGGCTTTAGTATACACTGTAGTGAGATCCAAAATTTCATAAGAAGATAAGTTCTAGGTGCTGCATGTGCATACAAAGATTCACTATCTCAAGGCTGATGTGTTGTGTTGTTGAGATGAAGAAACATGTCAAGAAATAGTTTTGGTGGGATGTGATCTTCAAGTTCAGCTGCAGGAAGAGTTAGTCCTCCAAGAGTGAACTCCTGAGGGCTGCAGGAAGACTGCCGAAGTGCTGTCACATGAAGCGAGGGTGCATATGACTTCTCTCCTCTTAATAAAAAGGAGAGCAATAAAATCCAGAAAACCCTTCAGGTACCTCTTAGGATGCCTCATTTTGGAAATTCTTACTTCCCGTTATGAAAGTCCTCCACACTGTCCTGTTGTCTTCTCCCACTGCAGGCCCTTAAAATGGGTGGTAAGAGAAGCCCTCTCACTAGGGACTGCCATTGGGAGGCTCCTGGGAAAATTGGCTTTCAGCTCGCATCTCCTCTGGGCAATTTGTGTGGGCAGCCCTTCTCGAGGACTTTGATTTGAGAGTAGATACCTTCCCCTCAGAAATACCAAGGTTAGATAGTAAAATGTTTGGAAGTAGACATGGGCCTGCTGGGTTGATTGTCAATGCCTGTCCCATGATACATAGAGGTTTTGCTGTTGCAAAACTGTGTTTCCATGTGAGCTTTGAGACTATTTGTTTACATGTTACTTGCCACCAGAACCTCATCTGGTCTATGACACAAACAACTTTTGACATTTCTGAGTAAACTGTTTAAATTATCTGTGGGTAGACATTTAAAATGCACCCCTCTAATTAGAAGGCCTCTGTTTATGTTAAAAAAGAACTTAATGAATCATTATAGCCAAGTCTGACTATATTTAAACCATGTGATTGCTGCTCTCATAAACTACTTTCCAGTCTGCCTAGTGCTGGGACTTCCTGCTGCACTCGCGTTTTTGTTGGGGATCTTCACTTTTGCTAGAGGAACATGCTGAGCCCTCACTGAGTCCTCCTAGGGAGGTGACAGCATCTGTCTCCAAGGGCACCAGGGAAGTTTGCTAGTGAGGAGCACGAGCATCTCCCTGTGCAAAGCCAAGCGTGAGCGTTGTACGTCTGCTCGAGACCATTACGGGAGCCGGGGTGGACTAGTCTAGCATTTACAGGAAGCCTTTGCTTGCTGTTTCTGCTACCATTTATCTCGGCCAATAATTACTGAAGGCAAGATAAAGAGCCAGTCCCAGGAGATTAAACTCAAGTTTCCTGGCTTTGGAAGTCTTCTAAATTAACCATAAACTTGCACTTTTTTTTTTTTTTTGCTGAATGCAAACAACAAAATGATGAAAGAGTGATGAAAAAAAAATAATGCAAACAACCGGTATTCCGTGGAAGGTGGTGGGAGGGACTGGGCAATGTGCCCTCAGCAGGTCATACCAGTGCTTTGCTCGGTGCGTATCTGAATAAGGTTGAGCAAAAAATGCCATGGTTTTAAATGAACAGCACGAGAATCACATATGAAATGTATCGCAGCAAGGAAAAATAAGCAAAGTATATGAAGCATTTTATTTAAAGACTGATTTAGATGTTGTAACTTTAATGAGATATTATCTCATCTTAAATATCCTTTTTGCTTTATATCTTTCAGAATCTCCTTTCAACTTTTCTTGATTATCACATTACTGTGGCATTGGGGACTAAATGGGATCTGAAATGAATTTAATAGGACATTCCCAGTTAGCTGCTGCTGATGGATTTTCTCTTGCAGAAGCTCCTCATTTATTTGGTAAGTCACCAAATTAAGTTAGAATGGCAGATCATCCTTTGTCCAGAAACCTAGAAGAAAATGCACTGAAATTCCAGTTCAGGTGCATGTGGGTATCATGTGCCAGTGTGAAATCATTCAGCAAAGACAGACCTTTGTGGTCTTCATGTGAGTCCTTTAAGTCAAACTGAGGAGATATTATTTTCAGTTCACTTCTAATAAAGATATAGTATAACTTATGTACATTGCTTTATTACACAGATGCGTGAAAATAATTTCAATGACACTAAAATTTATCTTATTCAGACCATTAAAAGCTTTTAACTTCAGTGTACAAGAAAACTTATAATGTAGGCTGCAAAATGTTTACTCTCTGTTGTAGTACTGACTTTGTTAGGGCTAAACATGGTCTTGTTAATGAATGAAGAATCCTTGATCAATACTTTATGGAGCTGCTTTCTGTTATATCTGCTGCTCAGAAGTAGGAGAATAACACACTTTTAGCCTGTCTTTAGGTAGCTGTGGGGGTCCTGCCAAGTAGCACAACACGTTAAGGGCCTTGCATATACCACAGACCCCCATGAGAAGTTACAGCATTTCAGAAGTTTCCCTTGCAAGTAAGAGCAGAATTCTGCCTTTTTGAAGGATGCAAAATCTGAAAACATTTCATCTGTCTGAAGCAAGAAGAGAGGCTATGACATGCAGAAACATCTCACCTGCTGCAAGGAGTTTCTACAAGTTTACTGACACAGGAGGGCTATTTTGAGTTGCCCTGATGCCCCAAGCTCCAGGCAAAACCAGTGCTATAGCAGCCGTGTATAAAGTGCTAGTGCTGAAACAGTGCCACTAATGATATGCAAAAGCCGATGTGCTACTGTGTTGTTGCTTATCCTCCAGCCCAATTTGTTGTTCTGTGGTTAAATACTTTTTTAGTAAATGCAACATTCTGCAAATGTTAAATTATATGTAAATCACTACAGTTTAAAACACGTCCTTACTACCTTCCAGGGCATAATATACATAGAAGGGGATGGTATTCAGCTTTGTGATGCTGAACTTTATATTCAGTCATCCCTTTAAAAGTCTTGATTAAATTTCTTAAGACTTGTGGTGAAAAGATTTTCCCTCTGATGTCTACTTTGGCAATAGTTTTTTTTGTTGTTGTTTTGGTGGGTTTTTTTTAAGGGTCATGATCAGCTAATGTCAAAAGACAAGGATGTGTGCTAAGTTAAAATCCTTTTCCCTATACTAAAATCTCACTCAAGAACAGTCAGGTCTTCAGAAGAAGGATTTTGTCTCCCGTTATAGGTGTTCAGAGCTCTGCGCAATGGAGATTCAATTCCAGTTGAGATTTCTGTAATAGAAAGAAAAAATGTATTAAGGAGTGGAATTAGTGTCGTATTAGGAAGGAAACTTTGCATCCCTATTATGCTTCAGTTCACATGACTTCTAATTGCTTTATGTGGTCCTGTTCTGTGGATGTCACTCAGTTTTACAGATTAAAGGAAACCCTTCACAAATAATACAAAACTGAGTTGATTGATAGAGAAAATATCTTATAGTTAAGATTTGACTCCATCTCTTTGAGTTTCTTGTATGAATCGTTTTTGCCTTGTAATTTTATTTGTTAGCTATTCACTTTTTTTTCTTTGACATTGGGTTCTCACAGGCTACACACCCAAGGAAACAGGAATAAATCCTCTCTCTTAAAATACCTTTAAGAATATAGATTTCTCATATGACTTCTCACATTTTACAGCTCTGATGTAATACAGGTGAGGAACAGGTGCCTTACAAACATGACTTACACTAAACAGTGTCCTTTTTCAAGGGTACATACTTGCATTCTGCTAAAAAGAAAAAAAAGCTTTTCTCCCTCAGTCTATCCAGAGGGTGTTCTTGGACCTTTGAAAATAAATCCAAGTGCATCTCAGTCCCAGTGCACTGGGTCCAGATCTTTGCAAAGCAGAGCTGTCAATTGTGAGTTGCTTATGCTGTGAGGCTCCTCACCATGGCAGTCGCAGGCTACTTGTACTTGCTGGTCTCAACATTTCCAGTTGTTGCAGAATGTTGTTCACAAAAAAAAAAGATTTTCTATCTTTCAGTAGCTGGCAATTGTGTGTTATATTACATATGTCTAGGGTAAAGAATCTTTTCCTGCATTTGTAACTGGCAATTTTTTAAGTGGCTATTTCACTACTGTAGTTATGAGTCCCTGAAAAGAGAGGTTCAAAATGGAAATAATAGGAGTCCTCGCTTCTACCTTTTCCTGGAAAAGTCTGTCTCTTTTTCTAACTTTGTTAATCAGTGGATAGAGAAACATCCCAGATCTCTTCATAGAAGGGGTCAGAAACCTATGGGAACTCCATAGCTAAATTCAGAGGAGCCATGATTTTATTCTGTGGATGTGTCCAAGCTGACAGCTGTAGACTGACCAGAGCTACTCCATTTTCCTCCAAACTGTCTGGATGCAAACTGTGCTGCTGAGCTGCATTAACAAAGGCCACATTGAAGCTGATGAGCCTTGCTCTAAGACTTGGAAATTCAACTGAGACAAAGTGCTGCCCTAGCAAGACCTAGTCCTAGTAACACATTTCTAGAAAGCTGGGTGTTTTTAGGGCCAGTACTTCTGTGCAAGATACCCATTTTTTGAATTCTTTCAATGGTTATCACTTGCCTTTTTTTTTTTTTAACAAAAGATTGAAGTAGCTTTTGGACACTCCTTGCATTTTATTATCTTCTCCACATTTTAAAAATGGACTGCAATTGTACTTATTTGCATGGCATCTGAAATATAAACGATATTAGATGCACTGCCATTTATGTGATGAGTGAGTAATGGTCTGTTATAAAATAGCACTATTCTATATTTGTGCTGAAAGGACCTTGTATAGGAGTTTTTTATATGCAAACATGTCCTTATTGTACATATCTCCATTTGAAAAGAAAGTTTTGGGGGAATTAACACTTTTAATAGCTCCCCTGAAATATACACAGAAAAGCTGCTTTGGAATGGACAAACAAAAATGAAATGTAGCCAAAACAGAAAAAAAATGTAGTAAATTTTGTCTTTAATCTTGGACAATGGAAAAAAGATGAAATGACACTGCAGATTGTTGTAGGACTAGAACAGTGTCCAAGGTGATTGGAAAAGGCTGACTCCTCCAGGTAGCCTGCATTTGTTTTGGTTATTTTTTTCATGTTGTCTCTTTATTTGTTTGTTTTAGAAGTAGAATCAAGTGTCCAAATCGATTAAACATATCAAAAGATATGTTAACTAACTATCTGTCTCCAGCAACACCTGGCAGATGATGCAGCATCTGGCTTTATGCCTGCAGAGAGGATAAAGAGGCCAGGAGCAGACCCCCAGATCAAAAGGAAACAAAGCAACACAAATTAAAACAGAAATTTGTATGTATATATAATAATTACAGATAAAGCCAAAATAAGCAGAGTGCGATCTCTGAGAAAAATCTCAAAAAATGGAAAAAGGAAAAGGATGGGGCTATGAGGACAAAGGCTGCACCACAGTGCAAGGCAAACCCCAAATGCATTTGTGCAATCCTTCTTACTAGTAGGGTAATATGTGGGACTTGACTTTAGGGACTAATCCCCAAAAGTTAGCAAAGACAACACTACAAGAGATTTGGCTCTCTGCTCTAGCCCATATTGTCCTCTAACACTATCTCAATGGGTTTTGCACCTTCAAACACCTCAGTTACCTTCAGAACCACCCCGATTCAACACCCCAAGCTCTGTTTCATGCTGTCCCAGGACCACTGTGGTGGTGAGAAACACAGCCCCTCACATTACTTCACACACTTGGAGCTGAAATAAATGTATACAAAACATTAGTGTCCAAGAAACACGGGGATGCTATGTAAGGCCCAGAGTAAAATCAGCACCGGATACTATATAATGTGGATGTGTCCAGTCTTTTCTAGAGATAGAGCTACTCCCACACAGAGGCAAATCAATCCTCTCCACTTGGCCCGGGGCAAGGAGATCTCTCTGGGTCTCTTCTATGTAGCCTTACAGATGGGTCAAAAAAGGCCTGAACAATCCAGTCTTTTTCAGAAACACAAAACAAGTGTTTTTGGGCTTATGAAGCATCTGTTATGACAGTCAGCTGCTCCTGGTAATATGGAAAAGTTAACCTATTGCACCGAATAGCCTCAAGTGAGTAAATCTTTACTGATGAAATTTTTATAGCAGATAAACTGTAATAGTTACAGAATTATAGTATCTGGGCTGCTTGGAAGCACCCACTTGAGTGGTAACCAAATTTTATACAGGTGGATTTGCTGTGGGAGTTGGCATTGCTATGCTTTCAGACATTTACAGATATACTTCTCCGTAGTAAAGTTAATCAGTAAACTATATAACCTCTGGCCTGTGTCACTCCTTTGCTAGTCTTAAAGAAAGCTCTCACTGTAAAGAAATCAACAGGATATGGGTTAAAGCAGACCTAAGAAGTTTTTTTGATACGTAGTATTTAAAGTGAGGGAGAAGAGAAAGAGAGGGAAAAGAGGTCTGGATATCTTAAAGACAGTATTTTTCTTCAAGAAATGGTCAGGCGGAAGACTGCCTAAGGTAGGATATTGCCATTTCTTGTTTAGAATTGTTTGTGATCTGGTGAATTCTTCTTTGAAACAGCAGGATGCTAGACCTTGTTTAATCCAACTGAAAATAATTTGTTCGAAATTAAACCAGGATTTCATTAATGGTTCCAGTATGGTTTCTAAATTACTTAATCCTGAATTATGTTCTTATTTCTTTAAATTCCTTCATGAACATCCTATTAGGGGAGTCAGGGCTTCATATTTTAATGCGGCTTAGTATTTTCCCCTGTGATTACCTGAAACAATAACTTTAATTTTAAAACATATTATCATAGTAATTTCTGTAATATTCAAATAAAGCATGTTATTCTTGAACCTTGAATTGAGGCACACAGCCTCAGTATAATTCTAGAAATTGGGAACACTGCTTATGTTGTATGAGGAAAACTTTCTTCGAATTTTACAAACTACGTGAAGCATATGCCATTTTTTTTAATCCAATGCACAATATTCTGTGTAAAATTTGAGGAAACAAAAGCAAAACTCTTCAATGAGTTTCAGCTGCAAGTGGTATTTGTAAATTGTAATATTTGTAATATTTGTAATATTTGTAAATTGTAAATATTTGTAATTGTAATATTTGTAAAATGATGCCTACATTTAAGTAAAATTTTCACTCTGATAATATTGGTAAGCTTTCCCGATTTTTATAGAAACATATGTTGCAAAACATAGCCTAAAAGGTCTATGGTTATAAGTACCATCACATCTGTGTGCACTTCAGTAGTCTTATTTTAAATATTCTAAAAGAAAAAAGTAGATAAGCTGGTAAAGCTACACAAATATTGGCGTATTGCAATGATCTTGTTTCTGTTTTTTCTTTCATTGATTTACACTATTGCAACTCTAATGATTTCTGTGGGCCAGCCCTTTCTTTACAGTAGCATGAAACCAGCACGTCTGAGACCTTTATTAATATTTGAATAAAATTATATGTACATTCCAATTATCAAGATAAGATTAGTTTTCTTTTATGATAAGGAACTATTTGGTCTAGACTCTTGTGTACTTTGTAATGCACTATTCAGAAAACCAGCGTGGTCTTAAAATGCCTCTTCTGATTTAGGATGCTTTCAGCTTTTGCTGGAAGCAAGAGTCTTCGTTAATGCACCTCAATTATGCAGTTGGACAGGGAGTGCTGCTAAGACCATGTGTTACAGACCAGGTTATAGATCTTGCTATCTCACTCTCTCCCCAGTCTTTCTGTTCTCCTTTTCCTCTTTCTACTACTCTCAGTGGGGATAAGCAAGGTGAAAGAAGAGGATATGATCTTTTTTTTTGTGTGTGTGTGTATTTAACTTTTTATAGTAAGCCTTTTTTTTTTTTTTTTTTTTTTGGTTTTTGTTAGAAGTAGAATAGAGTTACTAATTATGAGGGCTTTCTAAACATACTGCAATGGACCATCTGCTAGTCACTGCTCTAGCACATGGGGCCCTGACTTCTTGTGTGGCAACTGCATTATATGCAGCTAATAGCTAAATGCAGCTATAACTAAAGAAATGGTTAAAAATAACTGTCACCACTACTCTCATTTGTTCTTCTGCCCCGACTTCCAGCTGTATGTCTTGCTGCTTCTTCTTGAGCCATTTACTATTATCAAAGATGAGTTGCAAACAATATATGATTTAGGCAAATCCACAGCACTTTGTATCGCTTCTGTAGTACAGTAAATACTAGCAATACACTATAATACTAGGTGCACAGGATCTTTCAAGGTTTGCTATGTATTGTGTGTAACTAAGATCACAGGAAATCTGAGCTCACATAATGCAGCCTTTTTGATTAAGCCTCACTGTATTTGAGATGCATGTTTTGGGAAGTGGCAACTGTTCTCTTAACCGTGGTTTCATAGTTGTCATAGAAATTGTTTTTGCATGATTATTTCTCAGGTGTCCTTTCAGAGCCAATGAGTTCTCCAGTGCAAGAGGCAGATGTGTCACCTTACACACAGTACAGCAGTGTGCCGTTTCCCCAAGTTCAACCCCAGATTTCCTCGCCGCCTTATTACTCCAACCCGCTGGGCTTCTACCCTCCACAGCATGAGGAATGGTATTCCCCGGGGATGTACGAGCTCAGGAGAATACCCTCAGAGACCTTTTTCACGAGAGAGGCAGAGATAATGGATATCCCTGTGGCCAAAAAGCCCAGACTGGGCCACTCCACGGGACGAGTGAAAGGAGAAGAACTCTGCGTGGTCTGCGGCGACAAGGCCTCTGGGTACCACTACAATGCTCTGACTTGTGAAGGATGCAAAGGTAGGATGAAAGTGGTTAAAGAATACAATTCAGCTAATAAGCATAGCGGTTGCTGAAAGTTTGCATTTTTTTGTTTTGTTTTGTTTTTGTTTTTTCTTTCTTGGTAGATTTATCCAAATCGTCAAGCACTTTAGAGATGTCCATTGGCATCTCTCGTACACTATTCTTTATTGTCTAGTAAATACAACACGTAAGCAGCTTCTTCCATCATCTTCCTGTGAACAGAACACATCTGACCAGCCTATGGCTCTTAAGCTATGATTGAGTCTTGATTAGCTGAAGAACAGATTCCATGGTGGAGTTGTGTCTGGAGCCTGGCAGCTTGGTTGTTCTATCTTGGAGGATGCTCATCCAGATCAGTGTCTGTAGGCATCAAACCCATAGCAGTCTCTGGGAGTGCAATGCCAGGGTGCCCGGGATATCAGCTGTGTATCCAGCCCAATTTCCAAACTAGTTTCTCTAATAATTATTTCCAGAGAACCTCTTTCCCATCACTCCCAGAATATATGGTATTTGTCTCTGGGTCTGGGAAACAAAATGACCTTTCTAATTCTAGACTTCTTTGTAAGGGGTGGCCTCTATTCTTAGAGAAGGAGTTTTTCAGGAGAGAAACCATATCTCTGTGACAAGGATCTCAGAGAAATGATATCCACCAGTCTGTGTAGGGATAAGCAAGATATAGAAAATCATTGTAATTATTGGTAGCATTATTGCCAGGTATTGTAGCTAAGGAGGACAAAAGGATATGCCAATAGACCAGTTATTAAACATAAAGATGGCTCCTCTGTGGCAGGGCAGAGGAGTATTATAGAAGAATTCATTCTGCTCTGTGAATAAATATGTCATTATCATTTTTGTTCTATGGATAAGGTCTAAAGCATGGACAGTACTGAAGCTCTGAAATATAGAGATGCTCCCCTTCTGTGCGTGGAGCTCACTGTCACTGATAGTGAACTTTGAGTTAATTCTAGCTTATGCTTTACTTATCATGCAGCCACGTCTGAGGTCACAACAGATTCCAGTAATCAAATAATCTAATAGAATTTATAATTCCAATAAAAAGAATGCTTTTTTTGATGCCTGTGTGAATAGTCTCAAGTCCAAAAAAAGAGTACTAACTCATATTAATGCTATCATAATAAAGCAATTTTAATGTAAAGAGTCCAAGTGAGGGTATATTTACTTTTAAAGAAAACTATTCCTACCACGCACTAACTTGATTATTAAATGACTTACAGAATTATTTTCAGTGATTTTTCAAAGATCTTAAAATTACAAGCTATGGAATTGTAAATAATAATAATAATAATAATAATAATAATTAGGAGGAGGCAGGTTACAGGTGAATAATCAGACTAAAGCCAATCTTGGAGTCAAATGTAGTCAAAGGTGTTCCCTTCTCTTCTGATTCATCCTGAATAGTTCTATGCAACCACTACTTTATCACTTTTATTGGGATAATTTTATGTTTTCACTCTGTTTTATTAATGCAAGATCAATTGCAAAGAAAAGGACCCTTGATCAAGCAGTAAAACCTGAATTATTTAAGGATAATGCATTCTATTTATACACAGCTGATTCAGTAAAAAAATGTGCTGAGAACACTAACTCCACATGACAAAGGGAAGAAGGTATTATGCTTTCTAGACCTAAGATCATTTTTGTGCGTTTGTGGAATTTTCCATATCAGTATATGTTACTCCAAGTATAGTACCTCAAATTGGACTTGGAACTTCAGCTGTGCTCTTAGTAGTGCAGTGAAAGGACTATCTCATGTGTCTCACATCCAAGTATGAGGTCAGCTTTTCTCTTCAGCAGTTAATGTGTCCATAATAATATTGAGATTCCTCCCTACAGGAATGATGCCTGCCCTCCAGTGCTCCGCTCTATTGGTACCGATGCCAAGGGAACAGTGATCTCAAGAGCTCTATTGGTACAGTGACCCTTCCGATGCCAAGGGAACAGTGATCTCAAGATCTGCACAGTACACACACCATCAATATTTTTTACTACATTACCATCAATCAAAGAATAATTAGGAAATATTTCATCAATAATTTGCATATTAAGCAAAAGCATATTAAGGATGACATCTACTCTCTAGAACATTTGTGGTACATGAAAAAAAAAAATGGGGTGTGCGTGAGGTGTGCCTCATCTCTTTTACTTTCCTTTGAAAAACACTGCCTTGATCTACAATAATAGCATCACAGCAGTGGTCCATAATGTGTGAGGCAGTTCACTGGAACTGTTACAATATTGGGCAATATATTATGTTTTAAAAGCTGTTACAGTTGAGGTCATTTTTGTGACAACTTTTGCAGATAGACATCAAAGACTTTTTGGTATAACCTTAGTTTGCATAGGGATACTTTTTGAGACATCACAGAACTTCTTTGAACTCATAAATAGTATCACACTTATTCAATAAAGCCATAGAATAAGATCTGCTGAGCGGAAAGTTAGTTATGAATTCCCTCTGGCACAAAGGAGCCATTTGAGTTTTTGTAGTCTTCAAACCATTCCTGGAAACAGTTCATGTGTCTCATGCCAGACTGAGAAGACTACCTGTGAAGAGGAGGGTCCACTTTCATCTTCTCATCCTACCCCCAGCTGTGTGCATGGGGGGAAGCAGCTCTCTAACACTGCTTGATATCCTGACAGAGTGGAGCAGGCGTTTTATTAACAAATGGAGATTTCAAGAATTTTTAAATTAAGAAATCAAATGCACTTGGACACGAGAACACCAAACAGATATCTGTGAAGCTTTAATCTGCATTTTAATAGCTGCTTTCCTTCAGCATTTGTAATTTCTGTAAGAAGAATCAGCACCAGTAACGCAGGAGCAGCTCTTCCTGTAATTAATCACATTTATGAGTAGCTAAGAGAAAAACACAAATTCAGCATTTCTAGCCCGAGTGAGCTTTTTGTAATTTGGTGAGATCAGTTAAAAGTTAGATTGTGCCAGAAATACATTCAGCATTAGGGGCAACCCCTTCACTGTTGAAACAAATGCCATCTCTGATTTTCATCCGAGTTTCTGTGAAAACATCTGGTGTTGAAGGCTACATATAAAACATTTCAGGCCATTTGAGTTCCCTTTGGAATTATTAGTAAGAAAAAGATATAAAAATTTGATTCATACACAAAAAATTCAAAATTAAATATGGAATAGTCTGCTTAAAGAGACTATGATTCAAGAGTCACTTCAAGGTAAAACTGAAGTGAGAGTAGTGCTAAAAACAGTACTTCTTGCCAAAAAAATTACATCATTTCATTTTTAAGACAATACTTCAAGATAGAATATTTGAGTCCTGTTGGTTCTCATCTTTTTTCATCCCCATTTTTATCCTGTTTTTACATTATTGCATATTTCTGAAAGTTCATTTAGTAAGGCTCTTTGCCTTTGTTCCTCCATAAAACAGGATATACACACATTGTGGACAAGGTTAGTGATAATGTCAGAAATCTGACTTAGAATGTCATAAATATTTGTGCAGAGCTTTCTACCATTTACCACTAATTAATATTTGGCATGAATTATAGGATTTAAATTTAACAAATAAAATTCATAAATGATGTAAAGCAGATGCAGTTGTCCTAAACTGACACAATGAACACACAGCTTAAATCTAGGCCCTTTTCTCCCTTCTGTGATCAGTAAATTGTACTATGGGGTGTATTAATCTCCAGGTGAATGATGAATAAAAATAATGCCTAAGACTGACTGAAGATTCTAAGTAATCTGCATTTCAAAAGAGACTGATGTCAGTCAAGTCTATTTGTGTGAAAAGAAGCCATTAAAACAGACAGCACACATAAGGTTTCTAGCAGGAATTGAAGAAGATTCAGGGAAATGTCAGATTTGTTAAGACCAAAGAGTGGAATCATTTGCTGTAGCTACACACTAGTGCCTGGAAGAGATTAAGCAACTAAAAAAAAATGTATGCCAGAGTTGAGAAATTGTCATGTGACAATGGCAAAATTATCATGTCATCTGTTCTCTCCCCCAGATTCAGCAAAATAGTATCTTTGCTCAGCCCATTTTGAAAATACGTAGTCAAACCCCACAATGAGAAAAATTCAGATTCTCCTTTGAATTTGCTCCATTATTGAGTATGGCAGACTGGATGTTTTTTGGTGTCACACTTAGCCATTGAAGTACCAGCTGGAAGACTATAGTGTTTTTATTATAAAAGCTAGCAGTAATGAAAAAGCAAAAGCTTTGTGCCTAGCTCTGGCTAATGTAAATTTACACAGAGATAGTGTCTAGTTTGAATTGCCCTATAGATCAGTGATGTGCCAGCAGAAGGTCCTCGGAGTCTATTTTAAACCTTGATCTTGGAAAGGAGAATTAAGGATCCTTGGAAGAACCACAAGAGAAAGTTAATATCCTCTCTGATGCATGTGAAATGGTCTCTGCCCCAAAAAAGATAGTGTAGAAATACTGGGATGGCACAGTGGTTAATGCTAAAGATTTAGGTGATGACTGGCAGCAAAACCTCTGTAATGACTCTTTTATTGTATAAAATTTCATGTCTCTGTGTTATTCATTTTGCCTACTGTTGCCTTCTGAGGTGTGTTAGGCAGTGCCCAAACAGATTTTTACTGATGGAAGAAAGGTCCAGTAGATTTCTTGGATCAGTTGCCGTTTGCAGTTGTCACTGATCAATTTTGGAGCCAATCCAGGGACAACATCAGCAGAACTTCTTGCGTAGCCAAAGTTGGGGGATTGCTTAACTACTGTGCCTCACTTATCAGGTGTCCAGTGTTTGGTGAAAGAGACTAGGACATCTTGAAAACAGGGGAGGAGGTCACAGGTGCAACAGGCAGATACGTTAGAGCTTCCTTATTAAACCTGAGGTGGGCAGCACACGGAGCTTCAGAAGCTCTCAGGAGCTGAGGGGATGGTAACTGCAGTTAACTCCTCTTAGGCACTTGCATTGATCAGCCTGTACCTCAAAAGACATAAATACCTCTATATTTTTTCACTGACTATTTGTATAGTATTACCTCTACAGTTGTAGAGCTGGTGCTCAAACTACTCCTAATAGGTTCTCCATATTTTTTTCACTATTTGTATGGAATTACCTCTACAGTTGTAGTGCTGGTGCTCAAACTACTCCTAATAGGTTCCAGATTTAGGTTTGAATTTTCCCAAGCTCCATGCCTTACTTTGGAGTCATGTGGGTTTGAATTTTCCCAAGGTCCACAGCTCCATGCCTTACTTTGGAGTCATGTCTAATAAATGGGTCTACAATTTATCCTGCACAAACCCCAAGGAGATAGAGACGATCTTCCGTTTGATTGTTTTGCTACTTTGAGTGCTTTCTCTTATCTACCTCATTGCTGTGTTGTGCAGGGTTCTTCAGACGGAGCATCACAAAAAATGCAGTATACAAGTGTAAAAATGGAGGCAACTGTGAGATGGACATGTACATGAGGAGAAAATGCCAGGAGTGCCGCCTACGGAAGTGCAAGCAAATGGGCATGTTGGCTGAATGTATGTATGCAGGTATTTCCATCATGTAATCCATGTGTGCAGAGAACATGTCAAATACTGTGTCTAAGTAAGTGGGCTGAGTTTGATAAGGCAGCAGTGTGTGCAGAGAACATGTCACATACTGTGTCTAAGTGGGCTGAGTTTGATAAGGCAGCATTCTGTGTTTGTATTGAGGGTTATAAAGGCATCCAAGGTGCTGTCTGACAAATTGAAGGCACGTTAAAGATGGTACAAAATAGAACTACTGCAGTTGTCAAAACTACTGCAAAAAAAGTGAACACATATATTAACGAAAGTGTTTGGTCAATGGGCTTGATACAAAGGTTTAAGAGTTGCACAAATGGTGAAGGAAGGACTGTCTTGCCTAAGATGACACTCCACGTGAGCAGGAGGGAAAAGCAGACAGTGGAATAAGCTGTCTCCTGTAAATGAGGAGTTTTGAGCATTTCAGAAACCAAAGAAGGAAAAGTCCTGGCTCTACCATTTCCTACTCTTTCTGAGGCTGTCCCTGCCAAATCCTTGCTAGCCAGCTCCACATTTTAGCATTCAAGCAATGCCATTTTGTAGAAAAGAACAAGACTGCCTTTAGCAGGAAGTTCTGGAGGACTTGCCAGGCATGTGTTCCCAGACCTCACCCAGCAGTCACACCGAGTCTGCGTAGGGCTAGCCCTTTTTTATAGTCTCATTAGCTTTTCTCAGGGCTCTGTGCAGTTTCCTGCCTTGACAATAGACACATGGGTAGACCTGTCTCCCGCAATGAAGCTGATTGAACTTTAATAACTTTTCATAGTAAAGCAAATACGATATGAAGGCTGACAGCTTATCTACTTCATTGAGCTTCATGTTGGCTAACTTAGAACAGCTGTGATATTGGAGCGCAATTTTAACAGAATCAAAACTGCATTTTGGGTAAATCCATTATTTTTGCAAGCTTACTCCTGAAAACAGTCCACAAACATCTGCTCTTCTGCCTTTCATGAACAGGGCTACAAATTATTTTCTTATTGATGGCTCCAATCATTTTAGCATACACGAATGTCAAACCAATTTAGGTTCATACAGGAAATTAATCTACTTGGAATTTTTAATATACTTCTATCCCTCAATCTGATCACAAGATACTGTATTAACTGTTGGTTTTGTGAGAAACAATAAGGTCCATCAATATTGGGAATGCATGCCAGTATAATGTAATTAATCTTTCATTCTGCAAATTGGACAGGCTACAAAGATCCTGAGATATGACATATTCGCATGTAATAAGTAAATATATAAACAAATGTCACCAGTGCACAAAGAGCCACTAAGTGTCAGAGGAAAATACCAACCCGCCCCCCCTCCATGTAGTGCTGATTCCATATTTATTGTTCCAAAATTTTGATGGTCCGGAATAGCCTGGAATAGACACACAACAGCCCGGAATAGACACACAACAGCAGAAAACAACTGATCACTGAAAAAAAATAGGTCAATGTAAATAATACTGACTGGGGACACATGAAACTTTTAAACTGGCCGATCATTTTCACAAGCCGGCGTACAGGAAATAAAAGACAGCAGTGGTGCTGCCATTTGACTCCCTCTCTGCAATGGAAACTCCGGGTGGCTCGTGTTGCTCATGACTTAAATATCAGAAGGCTCTAGGGTGCTGCAACGAGGGCGTTTTGCAAGCGACTATTTAATGGCTTTTGAGTAGGAGTGTGCCGTGTAATTGCTTTTAGTTCAAGGCAATCCGGGACAGTAAAACATGAAGCTTCTAGTACTATAGAGTATTTATTTGAGAAAAATGGCTAGGAAATAAAAAGTTACCTTGAACTTTGTTTCACTTACTCATTCTGTAGGATTGTAAGTACAAGCACTGCGGATTCTTTTTTTCTCTGAACAAGGAGGTAAGGTCTTATAAACATTTATGGCATGACTACTCAATAATCCTATTCCTGCCCTTTATACATGAACCATGGACAGATCAAAATTACTAAACATGAGTTTGAGTCATTTGCTGTGGTTTTCTTATAAACTGCAACTTTCTTGTGTGCAATTTCTAGTTAGGGAAGGCCCGGGTTCTGCTGCTCTTCCCAGAAATTAATGTCAATTTAAAAGCTGTTGAAATCTAGCTACCTTTGAGGTAAAAATAAAGGCCCATCTCTCACATGAGTTTTCTAGTTAATTTAAATGGAGTCAGAACAAGACATCAAAGTACAACTACAGTAGGAGAAAACATGAAAAAAATACTCTTACTGCTTAAAGAAATAGGTAAACCATTTTTTCTCTCAGAAGGTAGTAGGCCAGTTCCTAAGGTGGTGGAAATCACTGTAAGTCCATTAACACAAGCAGAGAATTCACTGAATAGTATCGTTTGGAAAAAGAAGCTTATGATGCTGTGCAGCAGCACAAATTGCATGACTCGAAGCCAATTATTATCTCTATCATTCTTCTTTCTCTCTTTCAAGGTATTATTTGCAGGTCTTATTTTAATCATGTAAATTTCCTCTTCTTTCAATGGTTCAGGTAGGTTATTTTATATAGTGCTTAAACAGGAAATTAAAAACATTCACAACGAAATTCACTGTTTTCATGGTATCTTCCTTCACCATCATATACTCACTGAATGAGCCTCTTTTCCTGCTCTGCATTTTCAAAAGTGAAGAATGGGATGGATACTTGAAAAAAAAACCAAAAAACTAAACCAAACAAACCAACAAACAAAGTCCTGTGCTGATGGATTTATTGTTAGATTGATACTTAGCTGTTTACTTGTTCATTTGTGCTTTCTGGCTGTCTTCCGCAGGTAGTTTTGGGTACCGATTGTCCCTTGTTTTTGTTAGCAAAAGCAATTTGCTTTCTTTCTTATATGACATCTACATAAGGATGCTCCCTGGCTCAAGGTACTGAAATGTAGTCCAGAACCAAAAAAAAAAAAAAAAAGGAAAAAGAAAAAAATACTTTCTATTAGGGCAAGGAAAACTCCACTAAATAGTAACTGGTGCTTAACTCAGTCCTCTGATGAGCTGAAGTGCAAAATATTGAGCCTGATCAGGTTAATGCATTTTCCAGGTACTTTTGCCAGCCAGAGTTGCTTCTGAGCCTCAATGGGCAGCAGTGAGTCTGTGCATATAGTGACACTGCAGTGACAATGCTCTGGAGGCTTCTTCTAAGGGGACTTTTGGTGCACAGAAGTTGCACTAGCAGACATCCATATTGCTTAAAATTATTGTAAGCATTTCATTGCCCTTTGCCTAAGAACGGCTGCACCTCTATTAGTGCTTTAATCATTTTTGATAACAGCCTTCCACGGTCCCCACTTATGGTGCTCCGGCTCGGGTTTTGGAGCACTTGAATGGGTTTTCTCCTTTTCTTCTTAAATATAATGACACATTCAAGAAATGATGCACTGGTAAGACGGTTTGCTGCTTTAAAGGGCATATATAGGCATGCTTATGTACCTATTCAGTTGCACACTAAATCAAATTACTACCTGTGTTTTCTAGGTTTATTAACAGAAATACAATGCAAGTCAAAAAGGCTACGGAAAAACGTGAAACAGCCTCCAGATCAGACAGTCAGTGATGATAACGAAGGCCACGACATGAAACAAGTGACATCTACAACTAAAATATATAGGGTAATAAAATTCTTGTGATAGTTTGTACGGTACAAACTGTTTGAGTTAATTTGGCTTGTCCAGTTAATATGTAATTACATACTCCCTGGAGTTGTCTGAGTAAGGACTCCATCTCCCAAGTTAAGAAAATACCTTGGATATAGAAGTAGTTCTAAGGTTTTTAGTTAAAACTGAGTAGAGCATCCAGAAAATAGTTTCTCTGTGATATATGTCACATACATATGGGACAGTGAGGTGTGATAAAGTGTGAGTAAGACCAGTTATTTGCCAATAATTTTCTTATTTCCAAATATAAACCACAGCAACTCATGCAGCTAGAAACATTTAATACATCTCCTCTGTAGAAATTGCTGTAGAATTCTGAGGTCTCTCATTGGTAAATAAGCCTTTTGTCTGCTTCGTTTGAAGAAAAAAAGAGGTTGGGGGAAAAAAAAGTAAATATTTTGCCTATGATCTAGCACCTCTTGTTTTTTACGTAACTGAATTTCATGATGGGCTTTTTCTTTTTGCCAGTATAGGAGAAAATAGAATTTACCCCTGAACAGCAAAACCTTCTTGATTACATTATGGATTCCTACAGTAAGCAACGAATACCACAAGAGGTGTCAAAAAAATTAGTAAGTACATTCACTGATTAATTCATTTTTGAGGTGTAGATGAACAAAAAGCTGAGAATTATATAGCAGTAGATATTTATATATAGCAAAAGTTGTTGTAGGAAGTAGTAGAGCAGAATATGGGTAAAGAGCTCACAGCTTAAACATGCTGAAAAGGAAGGAGAATCTCTCTCATTCAATCATAGAAGTTTCAACTTTTTAAAATTGTATAAGGAAGGAATTTGTCAGGGGGAGGATGACATAACTCATAATTAACTATAGACTTTTTTTCCACAAGATGCTGAGAAGGCCAAAAATATAACTATACTCAAAAAGGAAATAGACAGATCCCCAGAGAGCAAGTCTATTGGTCAATATTACGGTGTGAATCCTTCTAGCTCAGGAATTGCATAAACCGCTGACTTATTGAGGGTAAGACGGATATTCCCGAGGGAAAGACATTATTTCTTTTATTTCTTACAACCTTTTGCAAAATACCTGGTTTTGACAACCAGTAGAAATACATTACAGAATCAGATGAACCTGTTGTCTGATCCAGCCTAGTAATTCTTATCTTTTATACTCTTAAATGTGAAAAGGCAAAGAATATTAACTTTTTTTTTTTCCCCAACAGTTACATGAGGAATTCAGTGCTGAAGGAAATTTTCTGATCTTAACAGAAATGGCTACCAGTCATGTTCAGGTTCTTGTGGAATTCACTAAAAAATTACCAGGTACATCTATTATAGTGGAGCAAATTTTCTTACAGCAAAATGTAGCTGCCTTCAGTTGCCATTTGTTGTACAATGTTGTGTACATTTTGAGCAACATAGAAAAATGGTTTCGCCTTTGACATACATGCATTTTTCAGACTCTGTTTAAATGAAACGAGTTAAATTCTACTACTCTGAGACTTGGTGAAAGACAAAATGTTCAGGGAAGGAGTTAGGTCAATGGAGAGACTTTTTTTCCCTATGTCACTGCAGTGCAAAACAGTGTTAACGCTAACACTTGCCAGGCCTTTCTGGACAAGCCTTTCAGTCATGACATCCACTGAATTGCGAGTCATCAAGAACTCAGTCAAGTCAGAGGCCCCAGCATCTATGCTCCTTGCATGGTGTTTTATGGAAACACACTGAAAACCACAATATATTATTATTATTATTATCTCCCAAGGGGATGAAGTAAGCTTCAAGAACAAACACTGCGTATGGTGCAGATTCCTTGTAAGACAAGTCCTACGGCATCTTCTCTGACTGCAAGCACTGCTTACAGATGCCCTCCCACTACTTAGGAGAAGCAAAGGGTCTTGAGAGCGTGTTCAAGCCCTTCAAAGGCCCAAAGCTGGTCTCCAGTGAAGCAGCACTCCGAGCTGGGACTTGTGACCCTAGGCCCTTTCTCTGCACTGAGCCACGGACCCAACACTGAGCAGAGGGCTTAGATCGAGCTTCCCTCACAGAGTCTCTTCAGCCCCCTTTTTTTAGCAGAAAGTCGCACAGTATTTTTTGAATGTATGAAAACATTATTTTGTTGGCTGTCCCATGATACTGACCCTTTCCCTGTGTGTTACGGGCTTGTTTGAAAGCATAACGCTGCAATTTAACTGTATGTTTTATGCTACTTAGAATAAAGGCTCATGGAAAATGGATGGAGTACAACTTAAGTGAACTTAAGTGAACTTAAGTGGGTACAGCACTATCAGCTCAAAGTGCTAACATGGATCCTTCACAGAACAGAAGAAAGAATTCAATTTGTTGAGGTGCTGCTCTGGTTGAACGTAATCACTGGCACACACATATGCCCCTGGCAGTGAGAGAGGCTATGAGCTAGATACCTGATACCTGTTTGATAAGAGGAAAAAAAAATCCTATCAGATTTCAATCCAAGTGGTCTTATCCTGAGGAAAAGACCAAAGCCTGGGGACTTCAAGTCTCCACGAGCACTGGCTACCTGGACCTTTTCAAAATCAGGAGTGATTTTGAATCAGATGATTTCAAATGGCAGCAGTGACAGGGAAGGGTCCCTGGCATGTACAGAAATCAGGCAATATCCTTCTCACCATAAGGCACTTGCAATTAAGAACCTCAACCATTCTGTGATTCTGTGTGAAATACCAGATCCTATTTGGCTCTGTGAGCTCCCACTCCCAGCACTGGCACTGCCTTTAAGTGAGACTAACAGCCTATTTTTTTCCCCAGTTTCTTCTGTTTCTCAGGGATTTTATAACTAGGAGTCCCTGCGTGGTGCAGAACTGTGCGACCTGGGGGCACACATGCCCTTCTCATGCTAGGATAAACTCTGCATCCTTGGGATGGGAATAAAGAAAAAGATCAAAGTCCTGCTGTTTTGTCCACATTGAGAAAGTTTCCACAGCGCTTGTTGACCTTGATAAGACCAACATCACAATACCCATGTACCGAGCTCCTTACATGCCAAACCTCAGGGCAGAAAGTAGTGAAGATTTCTTTGCTGCCTCAGTCCTCACTCCTAATGTCTCCCCAGGCTTCCAAACCCTTGATCATGAAGATCAGATTGCTTTACTGAAGGGCTCCGCAGTCGAGGCGATGTTCCTCCGTTCCGCTGAGATCTTCAGTAGGAAGCTTCCTACTGGACATACTGACCTTTTAGAAGAAAGAATTCGCAACAGTGGTAAGTACCTTGTTTAACGAGGGAAAAAACAAACACAGCATTGCAGTGGCGTGCCAGCATTTTGGCCTTGAAAAGCTAGTAAAATTGTTTATTAGCAATGAAATCGGTTTATCTGAATGCTGTTCTTTTTGTGCTAGCTAGGACAAACCTAATGCAGCCTTCAGTCTAAAGGTCATAAGGTAAAGGTTTCTTCATAAACCGTTGCAAGTACTATGAATAACACTATATAAAAGAAACCTAGTGCGTGTCTCTAATGACAAGCATAAAAGAACAATGAAGATGAAAAGTCACCATTTCAAAATATTCAGATAAAATGTCAATACTTATGCTTGCAAATGTAAATACTATAAGAAAAAAAAAAAAAGACTGTACAACATTACTGAAGATGATTGAGGGGAAATACCTGTTCCTAGGATCAGTGTGGTAATATGAATCAGAGTGCATAAGGTGCATAGACCAATTATAATTGTAATAGGGGACAATTGCAATTATGGCACATTTTCAGTATGTCCTCTGGCTCTTAAGATCCCTTAAAGGTTCAATTGCTGTGGTAGATTTTGCTGGGTTTGCACATAAGCCTTAGTTATAAAAGTTGAATGAGGCTAGATACTGTTAATTGCTTAGGGCATGAAGAGCCATGCCTTGCATTGTCAGGTGTTCCCTGTTACAGCACTGAATGTTCTGCCTTCTTCTGAATTGACCAGCAGTCTTTACCCACCCCTCAGCCACATAACAAGAGAAAATCAGATGTAATAAACTATTAGACTAAAGAGTCCTTCCATTATAGTTAGACTCTGCTTTGATTCCAGCTCCTGGCCTTCCTTTCAGAGAGTCAGAAGGTAAGAAGGTAGGAAAACACTTATATTCAGCACTAGCCATGGAAATGAACTTGAACCAACCACTCAATTCTGAAGCTCCTAAAATCAATAACGTGGAGTTTCTTGCAGACATAATTATGCCAAAACTTGCCCTGAAACTTGCCCTCTGGAGAAGAGAAGGCTGAGAGAAGATTTGATCAACATGTTCAAGTACCTGAGGGGTGATTGTGGGGAGGATGGGGCCAGGCTCCTCTTTGTGGTGGCTGGTGACAGAGCGAGGGGTAATGAGTGTAAGTTGAAACATAGGAAGTTTAATCTCCATATGAGGAAGAACTTCTTTACTGTGAGGGTGACAGAGCCCTGGAACAGGCTGCCCAGAGAGGTTGTGGAGTCTCCTTCTCTGGAGATCTTCAAAACCCACCTGGATGCCACCCTGTGCCACGTGCTCTGGGTGTCCCTGCTGGAGCAGGGGGGTTGGACTAGATGATCTCTAGAGGTCCCTTCCAACCTCAACCATTCTGTGATTCTGTGCAAAGTGGTCAGGAAATATGGGAACAACTTGTTTGCTAAAGTTATGGACTTCTTTTGACTTAGCATGCTCATTTATAGGTTTAGAGTCTGTGGGGGGGGGGGTTTAAGTAATATTTTATATTTCTTTTGTTTTGATTTATTATGAGATGCCATTATTTGAGGATCTAGAAATGGTGACTTTGAGAAAGATATAGAAAAAAGAGTGAGAATTTACCCACATTTAGTGAGGAAGCACCAGAGCTATCAAGTAGGAGATGAGAGAGCCCAAACCTCTTTGTCTCAGGAAGGGTTGTAAAGGTGGGATGAATCAGCTGACAGGAAGATTTCAATGGTGGGGTGGCAAATGAACACCAGGAGAACCTCAGTATGAGGCATTTGGCACCGAAGAAGGTGCAGAAGCAGAAAAAGCAATTGTAGACATTGTAGGCTATGTCCTCATAGGGTGTGAAGTGAGTCTGATGGCTTCTGTGATAGGTTCTGCATGAGAAATGTGTGTCAAGGAGGCCAGAGATCCTTCCTAGAACATTGGTTTAAATTATAGTGGATGAGAACATTTTCATTAAGAGATTTTTCTATTGGAATATAGCCTAATTTTTTGATAAAATTATGTCTCAGACAATTGAATCCATATGAATACATCGTTACTGAAAGCCTCTGCTCCTCTAATCCATTCAGTGAGGTCAAAGTGTCTGTTAATAAAAAACACTTTGATCCAGAACATTACACAAGTCATTACGTTATACCAATTTAATTTATTTTACTTACAATATTAAAACAATCATTAATTCCCTGCAACTACTGAGTGAACATCATTTTTTGAAAGTTAGTACTGGACTTTTAGATAACGTTTCATACTATGACATGACTAGGTGGAATATAACATTATATCCTGCAGTAATACTACTGATGTGTCATGAAATAAATAAAAAATACTAGTATCTTGCAAAGAAGAAAGCTTTAAAACAAGTTTTGTTTTCAAACATATTTTTTTCACAGCAAGATTTCCTGTAATTCTTCTTTTTGGGGAGGAAAAAAAAAATCAAGGTATATTAAAAATGAGTTCTGGATCAGAAAACAAAACAAAACAAAACAAAACTGGGTTGCGCAGTTCTCAGGAAATGAAGCACTTCAATGACCCTTTTTTTTTTAGTGTGTGTATATATACACATATGTACCTTACTGCTCATGGAAAAAGGCTCTCTGAAAAAGCTTCCCTCAAGCCAGGATGAAGTTGGGGACGTAAGAAGAAACACTGCAGTTAGAATATCTCCTTCCCTGTATCACAGGAGGATAATATTGTATTAGCCAGCTTACTTTCTGCAGGCTGCATTTATTCCCTCCATTACCAGCCATAATAGGAAACAATTCTCCTTCCCATGAATTTTATTTCTGCACGCTGTGCAAAACTCAAGCCTAGTCAAAAACATTTTCCTTACTGCACTTTAGGGGGCTGTGATAGAAAACAACAAAAGAACCTAGTAAATCCTTGCCCTTTTAGCAGTGTTAGCTCAACTGCTGCTGCTAAGGTTATTTAACTGTTCGTGCTACCAGGAAGGCCCTCAGGATAAGCAGCCTCTCCTTCTGGACTGAGGTTACCCAGTAGTAACTATTGCATGTTTTCATTTTGACTTTAAGGTGCATTGCAATATTGCATTGGTGCAATTTCTCTGCATCTTTTACCTTAGTATACGATACCTTCCAGAGCTACTCATTAAGGAAGTTTGAAAAAACACCTATCACTGAAACACCTTATTTCTGTGATACAAATTGTGTTCATTTTCAGTTGTCCTGAGCTTAAACAATTTATAAGAAAGGCAGCCAAATTCCTCTCTGGTTGTTGCTTCCACATACAGCTTTCAAAAATATTAATAATGCAGTTCACATCTCTGCAAGTTATTGGACTCAACACAAGGGCATAGAGTTGAAATATAACAGCCTGTAACAAACTTGGCATTAGGGTAGAAGCTTTAGCAACCTCCTCGAGCCCTAACTTGCAAGGATAGATTCTGCTAAAAAATGCAGCTGACCATTTTCATGTTATGGATTGGGCAAGAGGTAATTTGGACAATTAAGATTAAACCCAGGTTAGAAAAGGAAGAACAATCTGAGACAACTAGGCATAAATGTGGTGAGTTTTCTATTATTTTTATGTAGATGCCACCCCCAGCAAACTATGCAATAAATAACAGATAATCAAGACCAAGTTCAGCAAAATGAAAAACCCTGCAAATATAACAGGAGCAAAGGAAATGCAGGGTAGGAGTTTAGAAGTCAAACTTAAAGATAATGAATAAAGAAAAAAACCCAAGAATATTCATGGCTTCTAGTAAATCCTGAATCCTGTCAGGCGAGCAGCCATCAATGTGCCTTATAGTCACAACTTTTGTCCACATATTTTAGGTGGAGGCAAATGCCTGAGTGTCACATAGCTCCCATTGTCGAGTCTTGACGTGTGTATCCACAAAACCAGGGGGGCAGTGGGGAACCCGCCTGAAAGGCACAAGCTGTCCAGCATTTTGTCACCTGCCACCATGTCCACTTGGAAGCTGCTCTCATCTATTAATATTTATGCCTTTCCCCATTCTGCCTATATGGAGCTGAAGTTTTTGCCTGATAAAGAAGCCGGAGATGTGGTGATGACCTTTGAGCATCACCAGCATTCATTTTTATTCTCATGCTGATGTGGTCTATTTTTATTTATTAGTTTGAGCGTGTTGCCTAAGTCCTCGTACATCTCAATGACTTGCCTTTGTTTATGCCCATACGGTCTTTCTACACAAGGTGTTATGAAAAATCTTTTATTAGCGGCTCCCAAGATTGAAATCCTCTCCTACGCACTCTAATAATTAGATTTAATGAGAAATACAGACGTTTCATTTCATGTTAATGAGAGCTTGTGCCACTTACGTACTCATCTTATTTGATGCTTCACTATGCATACACCACGTTGTCACTGATTGATTCATTCTGCGAGAGACTGACATCCTAGTCAACTAGCAACTAGCTAGTTTCCTTCTGTTGCTTTTAAAGCAAAATCTCCTGCTTTTTAGGAGTACAATATTTTTAAAACACTGCTGAAGTGCTGAACATCTCAGTGAGCTTTTACACCTTGTAGTTTAAGGACACTTACTTTTCTGCAGAGTTAAGAGCCACATTCTGAGATTTTTGTTGTTTGAATGTTTTCTTTAACTGATTGCAGTGTTGGGGAATAAGTTACTACGTAATGGGAACATAGACAGAAGAAATTGGCTGTAGATTTTCATTTGGTAGCAGGATACCTGTCACTGTGAAAGAAACAGCTGCTTTTCTAGATGGGTGACAGGTGCTGGGGTAAAATGAGATCCAAGGCAAGAAGAAAGAGCGACTACTCTAAAGCATTGGCGAGGGGCCACCTTTGGTCCTTGGATGTGAATACAAGGTTCCCATTGATTTCAACAAGAGACTTGTGCAACCAAGGGCAAAATTTGGCACAGCAGCAACGGACACCGAATCCCTTTGGCTACTTCTGCCTTTTATTATCTAATTATCAATCCCGAGCCACTGTAGAGTTGGAAACCCTGTTGTGCTGGGTTTGCTCAGAAGGAGGCTCCAAACAAAATGTTCCCCATTCTGGAGTGCCTATCACCAAAGGGAGAGCAATCCAGCATTGAGCCCCTTGTTTCCAAACACCCCTGTGTATGAGAGATGTCTGACCCTCCAAACGGCCACGTGCATTCACACATGGGAAGGAGATGTTTACTGTGGGGTGACTCTGCACCAAATCCTGGCATCTGGTCCAAAGCCTTTAGAAAGTCGGACCTCTTTAAATCACAGAGCATAGAATCATAGAATCACAGAATCATTAAGGTTGGAAGGGACCTCTAGAGGTCATCTAGTCCAACCCCCCTGCACACGCAGGGTCACCTAAAGCACGTGGCACAGGACTGCGTCCAAGCGGGTTTTGAAGATCTCCAGAGAAGGAGACTCCACAACCTCTGTGGGCAGCCTGTTCCAGTGCTCTGTCACCCTCACTGTTAAGAAATTTTTCCTTAAGTTCCTGTGGAACTTTTGGTGTTTCAGTTTGTGGCCATTACCTCTAGTTCTGTTGGAAAGAGGTTTTTTTATACACATCTGCAGAGCTAAGTTATACACACAAAAATGAGAGCAGACGTCAGAGGACAGAATATCTTTTTCTTTTTTTTTTTTTGTCTGCTTAAGTGTGTTTCTTCCTCTGAAGATTATTAGCTCCAGGCAGCACGAATACCACTGCTGTGTGTCAAACTGCATCTCTCTCCTTCCTACACACACACAAACCACTGCCAAAGGGCAGTATAGGGCAATATTATTTTTGCCCTCCTTGTAGGGTTTTTGTTTGCAGTGATGGCTCCACAGTGGTCCTGCTAACTGAGGCTGAGAAGATGCTTTTTAGTTATTCTAATTGTGAGTTCTCCTTGGCATGTGCTAACCTCTTATTTAAGTTGATAATCTTGGAAGAAGATAAAGGAGATAAGGGCATGTGTTCTGGTGTATCCTCTTTACTGGACAGATTTGCCCCTTTTGGTTGCTCAATATAAATAGGGCAGATTTGGCCCATGTTTAAAGGGCCATTGGTACATTTAAATAGACTAGAAAATAGAGCTCATAACAAAAACCTCACGGCATTGAAAACAGTTCTGGTAGATGAAACGGTGTGAAAGATAAGATATAATTTTGTGAGTAATTAATATATTTTGTTTTCATAAAAGAACTGCTAGTATGTCCTTGGTTTAATATCCACTGGCACCTCCATGTTTATCAAGACAAAAGATCTCATATTCACCATACAGTGCTAGTTACTGTTAATTAGCACTTATTCACAAGATTTCCTCTTGCAACAGGTCAGTCAGTTCTGTTTTACTGAAAAAAAATATGAGACAGGTCTCAAAAAAGTGACAAATATTGACTTGATGTCACAGTAAAAAATGTCTACTCTGAGTTAATCAGGTGTTTACTTGAGGCCTGAACCTGCAGACCTTATGAAAGCAACGACCCTGTTGCTTTTAGTTAGAAATCATAGGAAAAAGGCAAAGTCTAAAAGAATCACATGATGTGTCTGAAGCTACAGATATGAATGAAATTCTGTAAGGAGTAATGGATGCTGGACAAATAACGCACACAGCTCTGAGCCTGCTCCAGGGTGACACTGCAAAGCTGCAGTGAGCAAAGCCAGTATCTCCAGTTGTCCAGCCTGGGGTTTGCAGCCAAGGGCACAGTAACCTACCGGAGTCAATGAATCCAACTGCAGCGTCCTCAGGAGGTGACGGTGGTGGGACCTCTTTGAGAATGACGCACGATGAGACACACGGGAGGGACATGTTCTCCCTGCTGTTACGCCTCACGAAGCCATTTCTGGAGCTTTTGTGAAAAAAGGTGAGAAGGATCCACCACAGATCCTGAGCAGGAAGTTGTGCCATCTAATGCACTACAGGACATGTGCCTGGCAAAGCTAAATAAAGGAAGTCAAACAAACAGAGCTGACTTTTCTGTTGCCTTCAAGGCCAGAAACACTTTGCAGCTTTATTCGATCTCATTTTTCACTTTTCAAGTCTGGTTTGTAATGGTGATATTTGAACAGTGACATAATTCATTTCTCATCTAGCCTTTCCAGTGCAAATAACAAATCAGCCTTAGGTGAAAATCTGAATTGAAGTGACAACATCTCGTACAGTAGATAAGGTAAAAAGGAAGAACTGTAAGTGTCTGTTTTCTGCCTTTTTTTCTTTTCATTCTGATGGAGCTTATTAAAGCCAAACTAAAGCATTTTCCATCACATTAGAGAACAGCCCCCTCTTGTGATGAAACAGCAGTTTGTATCCTGTGTTAGCGCCGAATGATGAAACACCAGGGGAAAACCAGCACAGAGGGCAGGAGGCAGAACTACTAACCAGGAAGACCTTCCATTATGCCAGCTGTAAAACCACTCATTTTGAAAGGTTTCGTTCACAACAGCCTTGTGACTCTTATCTATCTAAAACTTTCAAAACTCGATTCATTTTAGCAACTACGGCAAGTATCTGCTGTACTGCTATAGCATCATATTTTTGCTCTTCCACCTCTTCTGTTCTCTGTTTGGATTACAGTAGTGCAGAGCAGCACTCTATATTTTCATTTCCTCTCCTTTTGCCCCACTTGCCCATGATTTTTTTTCCTGTTATCTGTTCAAGGCAAGCACTATTTTACATGCTTATGCAGTGCCTGGCACAACGAGGACCAGGACTACGTCTTCCATACCTCATTCGCCATCATGTTTTTCATCCCCCATCTGTTATATTGCTGGTAGGACTTGTGGAGCTGAAAACTGGCCTGACCTTCTCCCAACAACAACAACAACAAAAAAAAAAAAAACAGGAAAGAAGAAGAAAAAGTCAAATGATGAACAGGCGAAACACATACAGAGAGCCTTAGTCACGGCCCACTTCCTTCCATTTCCTGCCAGTGTCAAGATGATGGTGCTCAGCAGCGAGATACCTTGAATGGAGAGATCTAAAAATATCCACAATTTGTCTTGGGCTTTTGTCAAGTCACTGTTGTGCTCTTCACTTTCAAGATGGGAATTCTTCTGCTAAGCTTTAGAGTTCAGCCAGGCTTTCTTTCTCTCCTTCAAATTCCTACATTCTTAACAACCTTAAGTTTTGGTTCATCATATTTAGTTATAAGGAACTTCAGCACTGGTTTCTACTGATTCACTGATTCTGTCAGAAACAAGACAAAAAGTGACGTGTTCTTGGTTAAGTCAAGTGACTCCTTTCATGTCTTCTTTTTGTTGATTTGCATCTGCTGAATTTCATTTTGAATTTCCCCTATTGACACTCCAAATCTCACAGCAACATTGAACTACCACTCCTGGCTTCAACTCTGTTGTATAAAACATTCACACCCACATTATTTAATGCCATTTCCACAGCAATGCAAGGTTTTATTCCAGGATGGATCAAAATTTCAGGGAGTAATATGATAAGAAATGATATGTCCCTCACTTGGAGCAACAGAGGAAGTTGTTCCTTTAATCATAAGAAAGGCTGAAAGATTTTTTGTGGCAGAACCACTGGTTTGAACCTCTAAACCTTGTAGGGGCCCAAGAGATGCCGGTGACTTGGCTTTGGACAGTCTAGTGGTTGCTCCAAATCACGCTGATTCTGTCATTCTGAGTTAAATGTAAAAAAAAAAAAAGAACAGTTGTCACAGGTTCTACTTCTCTTTTACACCAAAGATCGCAGTGAAATACATCCTTAATTTAAGGCTAAGTAAGAACATCGTGACCTGATGACAAAGTCAGTAGGAGGAAGCCCCACTGGCGTTCCCCAGTTCAGTAACCCAGAGGATCTTGCTGGTGGTAAGAGAACCACATGATCCCAACTTCAGCTGGGCTGCACTCTAATTATGTACGGCCCTGTACTTTATAACACACAACTTTGTGCTGGAAGGTATAAGTAGTTGCAAGCAAGTTGAGCTTGGACTACAGGTAATCCTAGATCTGGCTGAAGTTTCAGGCTAAATAAAAGGAGCAATTAAGGTTCTTTATGGAGACAACCGAAGCAACTGCCCAAGGCACTTAGCTGTACAGTGAAGCTGAGTGGGAATTAAGCCATACACCTTGAGAGGCTTCTGTGTACCTGCTGTAACCATAAGGAACACAGGCATCGCTGGCAAACTGGGCACACTGGAAATGGAAGACGACTTGGAATAGCAGCAGACAGCATCAAAACACATATGGGACTTGCCCTGAAGAGCGCAGAAGGACCTGAAAGACTTTGAAACTGTGCAGAGAGAAATTGCCCGTGCTTGACTGTTTCTGCCGTGTTCTGGAAAACAAGGATGTGCTCGTACTTTTGTAACTACTTCTATTACATCAAACCAGTAAATTTCTCCCACAAACGGTCAAAGCTCCAAATATTAATGAGATGCTCAGTGGCAATAAACCACATTATTAATTAAAAAAAAAATAATATTATCACCTTTTTTTCCCACAGGTATCTCAGATGAATTCATAACGCCCATGTTTAATTTTTATAAAAGCACTGGAGAGTTGAAGATGACACAGGAAGAGTATGCTCTGCTCACAGCAATAGTTATCCTGTCTCCAGGTAATTTCTAATTCAGAACCAGTGCTTTTGGAGAGAAAACATTATGTGTGTGACTTGAGAAGTGTAAAACACTTGTGTCTACATGCATGCTTACTCAGTATATTCAGTAGTTAAAACAGAAAATCAGTATATTTAGAAGTTTAAACAAGCAAATGAATCCAAACTCCTGCTACACCACCTGGTTTTGTATCCAAAGATAAAAGTGCCTAAGCACCAACTTAAAGAACGGCTAGTGCCTTAGCACTGCTCAGCACAAAGGGCTCCCTGTTTCAGAAAATTCCAGAAAACCAAAGTTTTACAACTACGCTCTTTTGTAAAATTTTATTTTCTACAGGAAGTTGGGAAATATGGAGATACTGTAGTGCCTGTAGTACTGTAGTATAAGGTTTCATGGAAGATGGGAAAAGTTAAGCAATTCCATGGCCCTTGGAGCCAGTGCTGCTCAGGAAAAATTTGTACAGTAAAAATTTCTAAAATTTCTAAAATTTTTAGTGACTAAAATCTCATCCTCCTCTTTTCTTTTCCTCCCAAATACCCGGGCACATACTTAGATAAAAGTAAAATGAAATATTAAGTATTTTCTAACAAAAATGGGATTTCCCATGAGGATCAAGATGTTTGATTTCTTGCCGGTGACCTATATGCACATTCTGCTCAATTTTCCCTCTATTTCTTCCTGTTGTACCATGAATTCCTGTTGTGCTGCTAAGTTGTTGCAAGGCATCATAGGACATACCCAGGCGCACAGCCACCCTGGCAGGTGACAGGATAACCCACAGCGACATTTCCCCTTCAGTTTTTGAGGCTGAAAGTTATTCCCAGCTAGAAGTGAGAAGCTTGCATGAACCAAACCTTGAGCCAAAATTAGCACATTCCCTTTTGTTCCCCCTTAGAGTTCCCTTTTGTTCCCACTCTTGTTCCCCCTAACTTGTGAAAAAAAAAAGTATTCTTGGTAGATGTGAAGATCACTGCCTACAGAGGTGAGAATAAGCAGATACTATAGCCTGAAATGAAAATATTTACACTGAGTCAGAGCATATATTGCCTAATTACTTTTCTTTTAAAACTGTACCTAGACCGACAATACGTAAAGGACAGAGAGTCTGTGGAAAAGCTTCAGGAACCCCTCCTGGATGTCCTACAGAAATTCTGCAAACTTCACCACCCGGATAACCCTCAACACTTTGCATGTCTACTGGGCCGTCTTACGGAGTTACGGACATTTAACCATCACCACGCAGAGATGCTGATGTCGTGGAGAGTGAATGATCAGAAATTCACACCTCTTCTCTGTGAGATCTGGGATGTGCAGTGATGGATAGGTTTTTTAAAAATTTTTATTTTAGGATAACTAACTTTTTAAAGGACCACAAAGCATTTATTTTAATAGAAAAGAAATATTCCACAGTTAAGTTTTCTTTACTGCATTTTTATAGAAACATGCCATGAATGCATGAGTCATTTTGCTCATTACAACATCATATTGTATAGTTATCAGATTTTCACATGTGAATATAACTTTCTCTGTATTTATATTCTTTGATCAGGAAGAATCCTACCTTCCCAGCATTTTCTCAGAGAAACCTTACTAATTCCTCCTGTAATTAAACTGTTAGCATCTGTAAAATGCACTTGTTCCTCTTAAAAAAAAAAAAAGGGACAATGCAGGTTTCCATTAATATTTTTTTCATTACAATGTTCTTGTGCTTGGCCTTCATTAAAGAATATATGCCAAATATTATGTACTGTAATAAACCAGCTGAAATGATCAATGCAACAGTCACTTGCTGTTTAACTGTGAAATGTGCTTGTGTAACATGTACGAGAAGTTACTTCTTCATGAGATGAAAATCCTCCCTTTCGTGAAACAAACATGAAATTTTATTTCATTAATATTTCAACATAAAAGCTATACAATATAGCTTTGCACATCACAGGGTATTTTACTTTACAGGAGGCTGTGAGACACTGGCTCTGCAACAATATTCAGCCGTTGGTGGTCAACAGCCCTGAAAAATACCCAGTAACATCCTAGCCTCGGATGAAGCATAAGAGCTTCCACTCAGTTTAATGGTGATGTTAAAGGGCTGCTGCTCATCTGCTCACTTTACGGAGAAATCGTAATTTCTCTGAGTATTTACTAGTTCACTCTCTAGTAGCACTGGCAATGCCCAAGCATGTATTGCAAAAACTAAGAGTTATATGAAATCATTTTTTTTCGGTTGACTCCCAGTGTTTTAAACGGTATTACGGTGTTTTCAGTACAATTACTTCAACGACCGGAGGCAAACTGTGTGGAAACAGCTCAGCCCTCTCATGCTGGCCCACTGCCTGCACAGCAGCACGCGGAACAGACACTCAGCGCGCGACCCACGCAGCCCGAAAACCATCCGCGCGGCTCAGCGCCCCCGAGTCCTTTTTTTGGCTCTTTTCACCCCACAACTTCCACGCGGCTGCGTCACTTTTCCTCAGCCGACGCCCCCCGCGCGCGGCTCTTCCGTGGCCCCGCCCCCGAGGGCGCTGATTGGCCCTTTCGAACGGAGCCGCCGGCGCGGGGCGGGTGGGGGCGCCGTGGTGCGCGGCGCGGGGGCAGCGCGTTTGGGGCAGCCGGGCGCGTTTCGGTGCGTGAGGCGGCTCCGTCGCACCAAGTGACAGTGCTGGGCGTGGGGGCTGCGCTCGGCTCCGCAGCGGCGGGTCCCCGTGCTGGCCTGGGGCGAGGCCTGGGGTGAAGCGTCCTGAAAGCGCTCTTTTATTATTTATTCTTTTTTATTTTTTGCATTGCACCTCTAAAACCAGCCTCCCTTGCGCTCCTGCCCTGGAAGTTTGCCCTGGTGCTCTTGGCTGCAATGCCCGTGCCTTCACCTTGCTTTAACAACCTGAAAAAAAGAAAAAAAAAAGGCTAGCTCCTTTCTTTGCGTCAAAAGCTGGCCCTGCTGCCCTGCCCCAGGGATGCTGTTGTGTCACCCGCGACATGTTATCAGATCAAGACATGGGAAAAAGCGCATATGCGCCTTGAGGGACTTCAGGGCATAGCTGGCCCGTATGCTTGTAATTATGTAGGTACTGGGTGGATCTTTCATAATAAAACTGGATTCTCTAATGAAGCAGTGATGAATCCCTGCCTGTGGCCAGCCAGCCAGCAGTCTGGGGCAGCAAGTGACAAGCTGCTCAGTGATGCTTGGCTGGAAGAAGCGGGAAGGGAGGGGGAACGGGAAGGGAAGAGGAGGCTTTGCTTTTGTTTGCTTGCTCAGCGGAGTTGGCTTAACGCGAGCGGACAGCCGGGCAGCCACGGGCTCCCCGCACGGGATGCACGTGTATTAAAGGCACGTCTGTTAAAGGAGCTCCCTGCACCTCAACTCCGGAGATACCAGCTCCTTCATTCCAAGCTGCCTGCCCTGACGAATGTGAATTTCACACCGTTCACCCGTTGCAGCGAGAGGAGAGAGTTTGCTGCAGTGTGCGGTATGTGCCGGGCTGCGCAGAAAGGCATCGTCCCCCAGGAGCACTGCCAGCTGGCCGTGGTGGCACGAGGGGGTTGCCACCTTAAAGCACTCCACCACAGACCGACTGGTCTGGTTCTTTTTCTTTTCACCCCTGAGGCCTCCCCAGGGAATCAGAGCTGCTGACTCAGTAATGCAGCAGAAAAGGCTCTATAATTGCTGTAATGAAACACGCAGTCACACTTCATGGATGTCTCCTGTGCTTACCTGTTTTCTTTTGCATGTTAGGATATGCACATATAAAAAAAACCTTGAATATCCTGCAGCAGGTTTCCACAGATAATGCTTTGACAGCTTCTTTCGTTTTAGAGTGTTTGAGAATGTAAGTTTTGGAAGGTGCTGTCAGAACTAATATACAGCTTCCAGCTGTCCTGGGTTAGTCAGTTGTGACTGCCTTTGGTGTTGACGGGATGGAAGATGATGTGATACATCTTAAATAAAAGGTGAGGATGTAAAAGTGTTTCTATGCAAGGGTTTTATGAGTCTCTGGATCCCTTTAGGGATAAGTAGCTAAATCAGCGGCTGCTTCATCTGTTTCAGGTATCTGTGGAGTTGGCCATTTTTTTTACTTGTTTGTAAACTTTTCATGATTCACTCTGTGCAATATAGTAAAATGTGGCTTGGATTTGCTTCCTCCCGTGGGACAGAATGGTTTGTAATTAGTGCATCAGGTCTTGCCTGTTGGTCCCCTGTGAACCATGTGTACCACTTGATACAACTGATACAGAGCGGGCTATCTCGTGTAGCATCTAAGAGCAAGGGTTTGGTGCCCTGAAGTGCTTGCATAAAGTGCTTCAGCGCTTGTTGACTTCGCTGTTTCTTGGTTGCTGGAGGACAACGTGGTGGGCAGCCCTCTGGAGTGCAGAGAGACCATACGGTCTTCTAGATGCACGAGTGTGCCCTTCACTGAGGGATGCCCGCTCCTGCATGCTGTGGCAGGGCACAGGTACCTTTCTGCACGTCTCTTGGCTCACGTTGATCCATAGGATGTAGCCTTTTATTTGTGGTTTGGCAGTGGGGAAGCTGACGGCAGCTTCATCCTTCCCCAGCACATCATTTGGGGTTGACCACCTGTCTTGCAGTAAATCAGTGTATCTATGTGCCACCAATCAGATGGATGCTAGGCAGTGTTTCTGCTCTCCTGTCATCTCATGGAGCATGTTGACAGCGGTAGCAAAAGGGCCAAGGGAGGAGGAGGTTTTTTTCTGGGTGTGGTAGCTGGAAAACTCTTGATGTGCCAAGCTTTGAGTGGGGCTTGTTGCCCTCCTTGCTGGGAAGCAGTTGCGTGTTACTGCAAGAAACAGGTAGACAGCCGTCCTTAGGGATATCATCTGGCCTGGGAATGGGAAAGGTATGGCCAGAGGCTGCACCCTGGGCATGGTGCAGTGAATTCTCCTCAGAAGGACTTTTCTTTGACTGTACTGAGCCCTGAAGGCTAACGCCTGTTGAATGGTGTTGAAAAAAATGAGCCGCCTGAATTCAATATGAAAGACTTTCTTCATTTATTATGTATCATTGCCTTGAAATGAAGTTAGATTTGACTCTATTACTTAAATATCTTACTCCCTACAGCATCTCTATGTGCATATTGGCTACTTGAAGATGGTAGATTTGTAGGTCTTGCTCATCCCCTTCTTTTATTTCCATTTGATTTATTTTTATTTTTTTGATAAATGTTATTCAGATATGTGATAAGTGAAGGCATTTAACTTTCTAGAGAGCCTTGAGGCATATGGGCTTACAAAATAACTTGTTTTAAAAGAACAGGCCCTTGAGGCTAGAGAGCCACAACTTTCCTCAATGTCCTTTACTTATTTTTTTTCCCAAGACTGCTCTTTTTGCTGGGCATCGCACAAAAGTGCAGATGCTGGGCATTCTTGCGAGAGCTGCTGTGTGAATATTTTGCTTTGTTGGTGTTTCGAGTGCTGCCCCTGAATGAGGCTGCCTTTTGTTCTCCTGCTGGCACTTAGCAGGCGAGAGCTCTTGTTAGCTGCTCTGCAGCTCCTTCTTTTAATGAGAGCAGCTTCTCTGCTGGCTGTTTGACCGTTGTTTTATTTATTTTTTAAATCAATGAAGCCTCTTACTCTGTCTCTCTGGGGACAATGGCTTCCTTATGCTATAGGAAAATGTATTCCCTGGGACAAAGCTGTGGGAAGCATAACATGCTCATTAGTAATGCTTGGTACATACCCTGCCCTTCCCTTGTTCATTCATACATGGACAAGTGACAGCAAGGAGAGGATGTCTCTCTTTTGTCTTGCTTAGAAATAAAAGTAAAGGAAAAGGCAAGAGTCTCTTGGAGTGTTTTTAGAGCTCCGGTAGTGCTAGCAGCCCTGATCCAAAGAAGTGATTTCAGCTTGAAAACCACGGGGTTGTTCAGTTGCCTCGTGTGAAGGTAAGGTTGGACTTTCTGAGGCATGTGAGCTTAGAGGTGGTGAGGAGAGAGAAATGGGGAGGAAAGAGATCTAGAGGAAGGGGAAAGGTCTTTTATGAGTGTTACGTCTTCTGTGAGGGGCTATTTGTTTTTTTGGCCTTGGAAAGCTAGGCTGTGAAGCAGGTGGAGAGGACTGACGTCTGCATATGAAACTTAAACTTTCATGGATAGGGGATGGGAGCTAGATATTTTTAGCAAGAAAATGTATGGCGTTAAGCTCTATGTGACTGTATCTGCCTTGTGATTTACAGCCTGATCAATAAGATGAAGTTGTTCTGCAGCTTTTAACTAAAGGAGCAAGAGACCTGCTTTTTAACTGTCTCCAAGGCATAGACAGGTAGCAGTGCTCTCCATTACCTTTGTGGACGATTGTGCTGAGGAAATTCCTTTCAGTATTGCCACAAGCAGCCAAACTGATAACAATGTGCATCTCTAAAAACCTGCAGCCCCCTATGGAGAGGATTATTGATTTCCAGCCCAGCATACAGTTTATTCTGAGTTTTCCCATAAATGAAGGCATTGCTGCAAAATACTGCATAGGCTTCAGGAGAGTAGTGTAGACTACGTTGCCTCTGAAATGTTTTCTTTAAGGTTTTTCTTTCAAAGGGTATTACCATAATAACGGTATTGCTGCAGTTTGCACCATTCTGTTGATACCTTTCTGAAAAATTAAATCAAAATCCCTGCGGAAATCAACAAAAAATAGGATTTTCCTTCTTTAAAGCTTTGCAAAAAGTGTTTAATGCAAACTGATGATGCAGATATGTGTGTGCATGCACACGCTAGGTATGCCTTTGATAACTTAGAAGGAAGGGGTGATTGCCAACATTCTTAAATTCCAGAATGGTTTGAATTACACTTATTTCTCTTTGGCAAAGGAAGTGCCTTACAGCTTCTTGAAATCGAGCGATCTTTTGAACATTATTTATGCTTCTAAAGTAAGTTGCTACTTTGTGCTGTAGTAACTGCCACCTTATTTAAGGGCAGAGAACCAAAGTTGACCGAACACTGGATCAAAACCTTAACTCTTAAGGTACTTCTCTCTTTTCCTCCCTCCATCCCTACTTGTATTGATTCTTAATTTAGAAAACTGGTGAGTTTTTGTTGGGATTTTCAGGAAAGCAGGAGTGACTATATAAAAAATTCTCTTTCCGCAGGGGGAGAAACTGATGTAAATGCAGGTGACCATGCAGAATGCAGTTCAGGTAAATACTTTTGTAATTCTTGAATTTTGTGTGTGTGTGTGTGTGTATATATTTATGCAGAGCTCTAGTCTGAAGCAGATGAAGTGCTAGAATCTGCGGAGTTGTCTTTGGCTTAAACAAAGGTACTGATTTTCCACAAATGGAGCCATGTGGCAAGACTGATAAAATGCAGGAGTGCTGGAATCCTTACCATGTTTTGTGAAATAGGTGATACTTTCTTTCTGTAAGTGCTGACATCTAAGAAAGTTTCTAAACCGTAATGTGAGATGATTTAAGAATTTGTATAATGATTAAAAGTGGGTCTTTTTTGCCATTTTTTTGAATATTTGAGTTAATCACTTAAAATATGAATACACACAGATGTATCCATATATACATCTCACTGAACTGAAGGAAAGTGGCTAAGAATATTGAGAGGACTCTTCCTCTTTGAAAATTCTGTACTTGAAATTTCAATGTGATCCTTTTCTGAAAAAAAAGGTTGCAAAAAATATGTGTTCTTGAATAGGGGTATGCTCATTCTTTCAACTTCATTTTAATAATTTAAACATAAAATACCTCCAAAATGCTTGAACAAATAAATCAGTAGTCTGTAGTAAATTATAAGCTACAAATTTTGTAACTTAAAATGTGCTGGGAAAAGCCCAGTATTGGCTTAATATATGTCATCTTTATTTAAAATGCAGGAAAAGCAAGTTATTTGAAAGCCATAAAATTAATTTTGTAGCCACAGAAGGATAACTGTGAAGTCAAGAGAGCAAGCAGAGTAGTGCTTCTGATGCAGTGGTCACTAAAGAGAGTTGCACCATGCTATTGGTTTTGTGTACGTGAAGAGAAATTAAAGCTCAGTCTTTGAATAAGGGATCTTCAGTATAGATCAGAACTGCGAGATTCCGTCATCTAATTGTGAATGTTAGGGCTGACTGTCTGGAGTTTCCTGAAATTTTCTGCAGGTGTGGTTTGGAGATGACCTTCCTCTAAGTCCGCGAAGTCCCCTGACTCCCAGGCATGGCCCGGGTTTGGCAGACGTCTGCCTCTACGACCAGTGGATATCTGTTCGGCATGAGGCAACTCTGGTGCCTATGCAAGAAGATCTGTCAATCTGGCTGTCTGGCCTGTTAGGTGAGCTTAAAAATAAGCCACTGGCTAGTAAACCTGAAAGCCCATTCCAATATTGCAGTCAAGGGTGACAATTAGTCTTCGTAATAGTATTAAGATTTGGTGTGCTTGGGCATCGGTGGTTAGCAGAATTTCATGAAAATGCATGCTCTGGTTTCAGATTTTGTTAGCTTCCACCTGTTAGAGGAAGGGAGATTAATCCTTCCAATTTATATTTATGAATCTTGTCTAATTTGTACTAATTTTCAGTCTGTCAAGCACTTTTTTGGGGAGAGGAGGGATAGGTGTTTATGCTATTTGGTTGCAAAGGAGGAGCAAATATTGGTTTAGAAAGAACCTTTCAGATAATTCTTTCTAATTCATTACTTCAATGGCAATATCTTTGAGGTCTAGCTCATAACACGGGTAGATCTCATCGACCCGTGTTAGATGAAACCAAGTAACAATGGCACTTAATATTCATTGTTGGACTTCTACTTTGGGGACTGTAGCCTAAGTCTTAAAACTACGAAATGCTGTGTCTGAGTTGCCAACTCATGCCATTTGTTTTCCTTCTGTGGGGTAATTCTAATATTTGCCTTTTTTTAGGAATAGAAATCACAGCAGAGCGACTACTGGAAGAACTTGATAATGGAGTACTGCTTTGCCAATTAGTTGGTGTTCTTCAAAACACAATTAAAAAATGTTGTAGCTCAAATAACTTAAGGGTGAGTCGTGCTTTCTTTTTTTTCTTTCTATACATATATAAGCCTTTACTTGTAAGATGTACTAAAATGGAAGCAGGTGAGGCTTCCCAAATTTGTGTTTTTCTGCTGTGTATCCAGGTCTTAACAACAGTATGGCTTTACAGATGGATAAACTATGTTTATGCAACCAATAACACTTAATCCATTTATGAGCTAAATCTTAAGGTCCTTACCAAGTTTCCAGTTAGTCCGACTGACATGAGGAGAAGTCTTGCCAGAGGAACGTCCACTGCAAGACTGGATTTTGAGTTTTCCGCATCTCACAGTAGGATGCATTGGTAGCCACATATCCATGGGCATTAGCAGTGTGTTATGTTAGCAGTTTATGACAGAAACTGGAGACTGAAGTCCAGTATATGAGCTAGCCAGGAAAATAGCCAAATTGATTTGTACATGTAGACAGGCTTCAGGTTTCCTATTAGGAAGTACACCAGTTACAACAGTACTAGGATTTGTCAAATATTAGAGGTAACTAGTGTGCAGCAACTGATAGGACAATATCTTATTTTTCCATATCCAAATACCTTTTTTAGTTTAATTTTTTCTGTTTTATCTATATGGTGATGTCAGTGCTTGATTTTACAAGCTGCAGGTCTCAAGTGATGCATGTTTGCCAGGAAGTAATTGAAAGATAAATATTTGAATTATTGCTACTGGGGTGGGACTGTGATAGCAGACTTAGGATACACTGATGCAGCTGTCATATAAATATCATTGTAATTATATGAAAGCTGCATGAATGCTGCAATTATTTTTTTTAGGTGTAATACACTGATGCAGCTCTCATATACATATTGTAATTATGTACAATGATATTTATATGAGAACTGCATCAGTGTATCCTAAGACTGCTCTCATATAAATATCATTGTATTTATATGAAAGCTGCACGAATGCTGCAATTATTTTTTTTAGGTGTATAAAATGCCCAACTTGAGAACATTTTTTCCAAGCTTATTTGCTTAACTTTGAAGATACCAGTTTAAAAATAAGTAAATACTGATTTGCATTGCTTTCAAACTTTCCCTCACTCCCCTTTGATTCCCTCTGCTTTCTAGAACAATCTCTAAAATGTTGAAATGTGTACAGTTTCATCGATTTTTAGGAGCCTATTGCCATGAACAGACTATGGAGGAGTGAGTGATTGTCTGGAGCTGTGAGCCTCTGGCAAGACTTCTCTACCCAACATACAGGGAGATGGGGGATGCCACTATATGAATAGTTTGGGGGAGGTTGCAAAGCTGCGGATTGCTCAGAGTGGCTGCTCATGTCAATGAGAGGAAGGTGATCCACATCAGCCTTGCCTTTGTAGTAGTATGTGTATGTGACTTTTTTTTTTCAATTATTATTGTTTATTTAATACAAAATAGTTACCAGTTGCTGTTTCTGTACTATGAATTTAGAGTTTGTTTTCCTCTTAGAATATGCTTTGAAATCTGTTGGCTGTGTTGATGGTGCACAATGAACGTTTTATTTTCTTCCCTTGGCAGAATTTCCCTATGAGAAAAGTTCCGTGCAAGAAGGATGCTCCATCAGGATCTTTCTTTGCTAGAGATAACACTGCCAACTTTCTGAACTGGTGTAGGACCATTGGGGTGGACGAGACTTACCTCTTTGAATCGGAAGGTTTAGGTAAATCTACCTTTTTATAAGACTTTATTTTGATCAGTGTGTGCCCAACTACCTAACTCCCTCTGGAGTATAGTTCTGTGAAGCCCTTGTCATGACTGTTCTAATCTTGTACAAGCAATTAATGATTTTATTATTTTTAAGGGATTGTTCCTATGAAAGCCTTAAAAGATCAGTTCAGTGACTGCTCTAACTTGAATGATGCTTTTCCAACTTTGTGAGAGCTGCTGTGTGGGAGGATGAGGGAATTGGGAGCTGGGCAGCAAACTGCTGCATGTTTTCTGTCAGTAAAAAGGCCACTGGGTAACAGAGAAGTGTTGTGTCCCTTCCCTTTCCCCATACTGGAAGACCATGAGGCCATGGAGTCAGCGCATAATAACATCTTTTATTTGATATTTGAGCGTATTCTTATTGCAGAAAACACTCAGAATAATGCATTCAGAACTTTTAAATTCAGTAACTACATCAGGATGATGTGCCTGAAGTGACAACAGTTTGCTGGTAATTAACATTTACTTCAGGACTTGCTTGATTTAACTGTAAGCCATTTGTATTTTCTCATAAGATAGTTAAGAAAATAAATATTGCCAGCTGAGTATGTACAAATGCTTGCCCCAGTGCACAGTCTGTACCTTGTAACAAACTGCCACTAGACTGGTATTTCCAGATGGAATAAAATTTCTGACTGCTAATTAAGAGAAACTGTTTTCAGGATGGGGCAAATAATGAAATACTTCTCTACCAGCTACTATGTCAGTAAAAATTAACTGATACAAATATTTTTTGGGAAAAAAAAAAAGTAGTATTCTAAGTTGCAAAGTATTTCCCTGTCAAGCACACACCGAAAAAAGAAAAATGCAAAATACCTTTCTGTTCTCAGTAATCAAAATGAATATGTTGCAATATTTGCCAGATTTTTTGAAGTCTTTGTGCCATTTAATGATATTTAAATGGGAGGCATTGCTTTGACTGTCTGTCTTTCAAGCTCTGCTCCTAGCTAGTTGGGCTGCCCATGTCTTCTCTGCTCTATTGCTGTGCCTTCTTTTAAATACTTGAGTAAACATCCTTATTTGCATCTGTCTCAGTCTGATTTAAGTAGGGAGTCTGCCTTTAAATGCTGTGAAATACAGACAAGTAGAAAAACTGAAGTATAAGAAAATTAGTCTCAATACTTTCAGGTCAGCTTGTGTGAATTCCATTGCTTAAATATCTTAGTTACCTTAACTGGATGGGTAACTAAAACCTGTTTAGCCTCCCTGAGATAAGCAGATGGGATTTTCCTAATGCTGTGGCTTCTGCTCGTAGCCAAGAAGTGTTTTGAAGTCCGATCATAACTCTTAACACAAGCTTGCTTTGTGGCATAAATATCATCTTTGAGCCTTTTTGGCAGTCAGATCAGCAGACTTGCAGCCTCCGTGCTGATGCGTTCTTTCCACTGGTGTTAGCCCTCGAACTTTCAAGTTATTCTCTATGAATGAACTGGGGAAAAGTCTGTCTCTCAATTTTGGCAGTTGACCTTTTCAATCCGATACATATAGCAACGCATCCTGAAAAGCATGAAAAGCCATGGAAGAAAGAAATTAAATAGCTCTTGAGATAGCAGAAAGGCGGAGTAACTGTTATGGGATATCTTTGGACAACTTGGACATCAAGCCCAATGTCTTGACTTTGGATAGGGAGTATATTTAGGATTTTTTTTCTCTTCTGTATTCAGGGAATTTATGCTATTTCCATTACAGATGGCAGAACAATTTACGAACAAAAGAATACATAACCTTCAGGATCTTTCAGATTATGGGTGTGTCAACTTCATATTCTAGGTCTACCCTTGTATTCAGTTCTTTATAAAAGCAGACTTTTAAAAGCTGCTTTTTCCAATTGAAGTCAATGATTTAAAATAGAAACATCAGGCTTTCTACTCAGTTTATATGTTAAGAAATACCTTGGTCTAATTTAAAGCAAAGCAATTACTAATATCAAATTGAACACCAGCCTGATGTTAGGTGTCATCTGTAAATATATAGCTGGTTCATTGGGTTTCTCTTCCCTGTTTTCAGTTTTTACTGAATATTGTTATTGTGCAGTGTGAAGCAAGTCAGACTCTTTTATATAGATAAAAGGTGGGCTGTATAAAAATAGTAGATACATTTTTCCCATCTTCTATATTTGGTAGGGGATTGGGGGAAGAGGCTGAATGGTCTTTCTCCTTGCTTTTAGTCTCTGAATTATTAGAAAATACTTCCAATTGCCTAAGAAATCACAGGACTAGTTTGTTTTTGTTGTGCTTTGTGTGTGTGCACGTGTGTGTGTGTGCATGAGCACTAATACTACTATTAATGGACTTAAAAAATACTGAGTGAGTTTGAGTTTCAAGGAGAGAGCAGTTTTGCATGAAATCTTGAAATATTTCCTTCTCTGTGGTCCTTGTTCAGCTTGCACCCCTAAATGTAGATGTTGAATATAAAAAAGAAAAATACATATACACAAAAGAAGCAGCCAAGCTTTTTAATTTTGCAGTCGTCAAAAAAGCCAAGAATTCCCGTAGTCATTGACACACCATTTGTCTGCTGCTTTACCCTTACATCTCTTCTTTAGCTCATTTGCTTGGGACTTGGGGCCAGTACCTGATATTAGAGCCTGAATGTCACTCCCACCCCTTCTCTGACTTTCTGAGGTTTTCTTTTCAGAGGGAAACCAAATTCTGAAGAAAAGCTTTGCGTGAATGAGGCAGGGTTAGATGTCATCAGGCGTGGGGAAAGGCGGGAGAGCAGGGCTGAGCGTGGGCACCTCATCATGGGGACTGTAGCTGGCAACATAAAGTCTCCTAGGGTAGCTTGCAGAGGCAGCAGCTTCTGGCTGTCACATCAGCCACGTGGATGGACCCTGCTGGCAACCCAAACTTTTAAAGGGATAATAAAGAAAGCAGCTGTCACATGCTGGAAGAGTAGCAATCATCTTGATTAGCCCAGAGATGTGGTTTGAGGTGTTTGGGCTGACTAGCTGTGTGTAGCTACCTACTTGTCAACAAGATCCTTGCACTGTGCTCTTCTCTTGTTCTTCATATATAACCTGTACCTGTGTCTGCACAAAAACACACACATGAACCAGTTGAGTATATTTTCCTATGCTCTGGATCCTTGTTCCTGTTAAACATATTTGGCAGTACAGAAGGCAAAACTCTCAGCTCTCTTGCTTTCCAGTTTCACTCTAGAAGGAACAGCATAAAACCAGCTAATGTGTTTCTCTTAAGAGATAGAAAGGAATTTGGTTTCAGGAATGACAGGGTGGTTTTAGAATATTTTTCAATGAGAATAAGAATTAAAAAACAGAGAGTACTTTATCCATGATGCAGTCCACTTCCAATGGGTTTAGTGAACTAATGTAGTTTGCTTCTGCATAGGAGATGACTTGAGTGCAGTCATCTGTTCTGTATCTTCCATTCTCTGCATCTAATTGCACAGTCCTTCTCACAGCAAATATGAAACAACCTTTTCCCCCCACCTTTTTTTATCTCTTTTAGTTCTGCACAAGGATCCAAGACAAGTGTATCTCTGTCTCTTGGAAATTGGTCGCATTGTATCCAGGTATGTGATATGCGATCTATGCATACTTTTAACTAGACAGTAATGAATATAATTCTTTAAGGAAAAGTTGAGACAAAGTTAAAATGAACTGCAGTTGTTAAGTGTAGTGCTGATTTTGTGCAGAAGATAATGAGCAGCTCTTCTAGCTCTTGCCATGTGAATATTATTTCAAACATTTACCAGATTCATCTCATGGAGAGGTGCTGATGCATGCTGCTTTTTATAGCTTGAATATAGTTTAAATGCTACATTCAGCTTATAGATATGTGTACATCCTGGAAGCATGCCTGAAGAACTTAATGGACATTAGACATGACTTTTCCCCCCCATCTTTTTTAAAGCTTTGGGTAGGCATGGAAGCTTTGAATATGAATCATCTCTTTATCGTTCTGCAAATTTAGACTTCTAATTTGTTTACAGTACAGGAAGAGCAACTTTAAGATAGGTTATCTACGTTGGTTGTCACCTAAATTGCACAGGTTTGACAGTATTGTTACTGCCTTCTGTGGTATCTCTAAGACCATCTTTGGGAGAACTTCAAGAAACTCAGAGCCGCTGCTCCTCTTCGGATCACCATTCCTCTGACTCATGTCATGCTGTCCGTCAGTCCAGCTATTCAGCATTTTACATGTCTGTTTTCATTAGTTTCTTTGTTTTCTTCAGTAGATTAGCAATTAAACTCTACTTATGTGTTTGTGTTGAGGTATGGAGTTGAACCTCCTGTGCTGGTAAAACTGGAGGAGGAAATTGAGCTTGAAGAAACACTGCTAATGACCTCTGGACCAACACCGCCTGTTAGCACAGCCAAGTCATGTCACCATGGGGAGCTACATGAGGCAGTAAGTACCACTTGCACTCATCCACACTACCTCACTTCTTGTGAGGTTGGCTTTAAATCAGGCTCTAAGTTTAGTGCTTGTGCAATCTGACTCAGTAAGCGTCGGCAAGTTTTAAACTAATATTTGCGAGCCCGCTTAAAAAGAAAATATGTACCTCTTAGGAACAGTTTGTGTTAAATGTGAGGAAAATGTTGTCGTGCATGTTTTAAAGTTAATGCTTCAGTGCATAGAGCATCTTTTTCATTGTTTCCTTGAGTATAAGAAATAACCTTTCATCATTCAGTTTTTGTTAGTTATCAATATTCTATGACTGTAACCTGACCTGCTCTTCAATTTTCATCAAAATTCATCAAATGTGGAAAGTGAGCTTTGCTTTTTATTTTTTAAAAAAAAAAAACTTTTGAAAAAGACTTTAAATAAAACCTCATCTTGTGAAGTTGTCCAAGAGGAATGATAAACAACGCTCTTATTTTGCTTAAAAATATGTATTGAGACTTTAAAGCTGTTTATTATAGAAGTCCCCTGATGATGATGGTGATGTATGTAAAACTTTTGCTTAATTGGAATGTCACTCACCAAATCCTCCCTCTGAAAGCTGACTCAGCAGTAGTCCAGTTCTTCAACTCTGTAAGTGCCTGTAGCAGGTTCATCTTGTCTAACTTTGGACTTACTTGAGGACGACGTTCCTCTGGTTTTACTGGTTTCCTTCTTGAGTGTCACACAGAATTATAAAAAACTTGGAAGAATGTTGAATTGCCCCTGGGTCAGGTGCAACAAGAGGACCAGTTCTGCTGAATTCAGACATGGAAGAGGTCCAGGCACTTGTTTCGATTTCTTCCAACCATAATAATGTCTTTGGGATGGGAGATTTGAGGATGAGATCTGATGCTGCTGTGCACAGTATAATAGACAAATCTTAAATTGAAAAGAAGAAATATTTTAAAATTGAGGAAATAATGAAAATTAAATCTCAACAACTCAAAATAGCTTGTCTTCTCTATATGTATCTGCCCTCTTGTCTTTTATTCTATGTCTTGATGCTCTGTAACTGAGATTTCTTTTTGTGAGGAAACAGAATTCTAATGGTTCTTTTGATTGTGGGATAAAGATATAGGCATCTGCTGGTGCACTATACAACACAAACTGTTAAACACATGCTTCTGTCAAAATTCTAACACATATTTTCAATTTTAATAACTAGGTTAAGCATATAGCAGAAGATCCTCCCTGCAGTTGTTCTCATCGATTTTCAATTGAATATTTATCTGAAGGACGTTACAGGCTGGGAGATAAAATACTGTTCATACGAGTAAGTAATTTCTGGATATCCCAAGTTAAATTCAAAAGGGAGAGAGAAATATTTTTAGTTGGAATACCTTCCTTTTTATGACAGCGTTTGTAGATTCATAGAATCTTTTAGGTTAGGAGGGACACATGGAGATCACCTGTTTCAATCCCCTATTCAAGCAGGTCTAGCTTATTCAATTTTATAACCAATAGCTAATTCAAGCAGGTCTAGCTAATCAATTTTATAATTGATTTTTACAATTACAGATATGTTAAAGTATAAGCAGGTTAATGATTTTATGTGTTGTTTCTATATTTTCATTAAGAACATGAAATATAAAGATCATGCAACAGAGGTTTAGTCTGAGAATGTTGTCTGGACAAAATCTTGGTTTTTGGGGTTTGTCACTAGCAGAATAGCTGAGTACTCTCTTAAGCAGACTTAAGAATTTGTGAGATTAGAAAGTTATGAGGACTTTGAACAAAGCTTTTCTCCAAAATTCCTTGTACAAAATAGAGATGCTGACAGAAGCGATAAAAATGTTTATTTTAGATTTGTACTGGTTTCATATACTTTCATGTACAAGGCTTGTCTCCATGCTTTCATTATTTCTCCTATATGTAGTGATTGCCTATGCAGAAGAGACTGTCTGTGAGCAATAGCTAAGGAGCATTTATCATATTTTTTTTTCTTTTGTGAATGATTCCCTGTAAGAAAAGATGTCCCATTTTTAATGAAAGATGAGGAGATGCTGCAAAAAAAAAAAAAAAAAAAAAAAAGTAAAATATTTCTCATGTTTCTGTCCTCCTACTTTCATTCTCAGATGCTACATGGCAAGCATGTGATGGTACGTGTTGGTGGAGGCTGGGACACTCTTCAAGGTTTTCTGCTAAAATATGATCCATGCCGAGTTCTTCAGTTTGCAACTCTGGAACAAAAAATCCTGGCGTTTCAGAAAGGGGCCACCAACGACAGCGTCCCCAACTCCTCAGCCAGAAGTCAGCAACCTCCTCCTATGAATCCAATGTCAGCAATTAGTATGTTTCAAAAGCAGCCATCAAAACCCACCACTCCTGTTTCTGCTCTAAAGGCTGCCCATGGGGCCAGTGGTAAAAAAGCTTTATCTAAATGTCCTCAGACCCCTGCCCTGGCATCCCCAAAAGTGCCATCACACCCATCCTCTACAGCCAAACCGGTGTCAGCCAGGTCCAGATTGCAGGGGGGTTTGGTGACAGGCACACAGTCTCCTTTCAAACCAGCACCGAGCACCTCAAAGAAGCTGGAGCCTCCTGCACACAGTTCCCCAGGCCCTGTTCCTCCTCGACCTGTGCCGCGTGTAAACAAGGGAGGTGCGGGATCCAGAACAGCCCTTGTTCACTCTGAAACGTTGCGCAAACGTATTCGGTCCCCTGACAATCCTAAGGTGAAATTTGCCCCGGCCCAGAAGTCACCAGGGACAGGATCTGCCTCCTCGGCCTCCATGAAGCAGCTGTCTCAGCTGCCTGGAACGAGCGAAACGATAGCTTCCAAACAGAAGTGTGTCCCTTCTAAATGCAAATCTGCATCTAGCACTACAGCCAAAGCTACTTCTGTTGCTCCAAAGCCTGCGCGGCCACCCATTACAAATCTGCATACTGTTGCCAAATTTGCACATTCTCAGCAGCATCTTGCGAAAACTCCTTCTGAAAATATGTTTCAGGCTTCAGGGACTGCGTCTCGGCGTCCTCCTAAAGCTCCACAAACAGCTTCTCACCAGGGACGGAACCTTAAAACTGCTTCAGTCCTCAAACACTCAGCTTCTGCACCTTCCCTTGCAGTTACTAAAGCATCAAAATTGCCACCTAAACTGATGTCTGCAAGCAAAAATGCATCCTCAGCTGTTGAGCAGACAGCCTCAGAGCATGTACAGGCACCAAATGTCAGTAAAACCCCTCAGGTGGGACCCGTGTCGTCGAAACCTCCTGAACGCGCTCCCTTATCTGTTGTGCGGCTTCCTCAGACTTCAGCCAAAGCAGCAACGACCAAAAAGGCAGCACAGCCTTCTGCAAAAGGTCAGCCTGCAAACAAAAACCTGCAAGCAAATGAAACTCCTGTCCCAGCAACCAAGAAGGCTCTTCTCTCTAAAGGCAAATTGGCAGCAGCAAACAAAGGGATGCCTGGCGTATCCAAAGGCCCTCTTGCAAAGAGCAGACAAGATGATCACTATTTTGTTATGACAGGGAGTAAAAAGCCCAGAAAGTAAAATACTTGCTACCTGCATGTGGAAGTTTTAATTTATTGCAAATGGGCCCCTTATATGCACAGAGGAAGGGGGAAAATAATGTTAAATAACACTACACTTAACATAGGAGATGTTAGGTATAATGTGTGTCTGGCTGCATAACTTACAGTAAGAACTGTGTGTATTTTGCAGTTCAAAAACTTTAATCTCGATGTATTTAGACAGTGAGCTTGCCTGCTGTTGAGCACTGTGTAATGCAGAGCGTGCCTGTTTGCTGCTAGCCTGACCTGGTGTGGGAAAGGGCAGGAGAGAGGAGAAGGGACACAAGGCTGCTGCTTTTGCTGCTGTTGCTCGTTTTGGGGGAATTGGATCTATTCAAGATGTTTTTACCCAGGATAGAGCCTGGGTGATTCTGGCTGCTCTAGCACATCTTTTTTTTGAGGCTTGTAGCAAGTGACAAAGCTGAGCACATGCTCTACAAGCCCTAGTGCCTCAAAAAAAAAAAAAAAAAAAAAAAAACACTATTTATTTTTGTCTAACAGTGTTCCAGGGCCAAATGTGGGTTGCTTACCTGTTTTAAAAAAGAAAGAAGTCTCTTGGCCTGTTCAGATTTTACAGCATCGTTTCTTAGTTTTTACTCTGTCACCTGTAATATGCCTTAAATTGGCGTCAACTTAATCAGAAATGGAGCCTCTTGGGTTTGCATCACGGTATTGGACGTGGAGTATCATGGCCTTGACCAGCATCTCTTTTTGTGCCTTAGCCTTGCAAATTCCTAGCAGATCCAGATCTCTTCAGTGAGCAGTTCTGCTTTTCAAAACAGAGGTGCAGGACAGGCATTTTCCCCAGGGATGGAGCTCCCGAGTGACTCCTGCAAGTACCAAGCCACATAGGCAGAGCCCTACTGCTCTGTGGGAGTTGTTTGTAAAACTGAATCCCAACAAGACTTCTTGGTGCTAGAAGCCGACTTTGCCTTTTTTTATTTTAGTTCTGCGTATGGAGACCTTATTTCTACCTTTTTGGAGGTGAGGGGTAGCTAGTTTCCCAAGGAACTGAAGAACAGGGATTGCATTTACCCTAAAACACGTAAGTGCCAGAAAACCGTGCACCATTTACACTCACACTTTACTCCTGGAGGCTTTCAGTGAGTTAAACATCTGTGATACTCTGCCCTTAACTAATGCTCTGCACTGAAGTGGGTTTCATGGTGACTAAAAACTATTCAGCATCTCGGAAAGGTAGCGTTGCTTGAGATACTTCAGGTTTAATGAAAGGTTAGTCCCACGAGCGCTGAGGAACTCTCTAGTTCTGTGAGGAGACACTGTGGACTTATTTTTTCCCAGAACTAGAGCAAACCACTATCATAAGCTAATAATGAGTCCTCATTTGCAGTGGCAAAGTCGTGGGACTGCCTTTCTGAGCACCTTGTTAGCTTCTTTTTATTTATGATTCTATTTATGCACATCTACTGTACAATGCCAGTTACGGCCTGCTGGGAATAAACTGTAAATAACTATATCTAAAATATAGGAAACCTATAGACCTATTTTAATGACATGGACACAGGTCCCACAAGCTCACATACAAAACTGTATGCTTGGGCGAGGTCTTCTCACTTACTTGTTTTATATATACACTAGTCAAAGTCACTACTGTAAATGTTAAGAATGGTATTGACTGTAGTGAAGTGGTTTCATGTTTGATAAACTTGGCATGTTGCCTCAGACACGGAATATACATTTTATAGTAGTTGACTTTTGAGTTCAGTCTTTTAAATAGGTAACTAAATATCTCATGCAGAGGAAGGGCTGAATTCCTGGGGTTTCTTTCTGCACTGTTTACAAGACTTCTGGTAGTATTTTAAAAACCGAGGCCTTAGATTTGAGTGCAATGTTATCTTGGCATCTAATTTCTTAAATTAAATGATTTTTTTCTCTGGAAATGTGGTTTCAAAGAAAATGATATAGATGGCTTCATCTTTGCAACCCATTTCATGTAATAGACTGAATTTGACATTTTAAAATGAAATATAAAACTGGCACAGGAGAAGGCAAAAAAACCCTTTTTATAATTGATACTTTAACTAACCTAAGGATAGTTCAGGTGTTTTATATGGGCGGGCTTGATTTGGTTTTGTTTTAATACAGATAATATATTAAAAAATGGTCTGAGTTCTAGAAATATTGCAGTCTCCACCTTTATATGCTACCTAAGGTTGTCATGTGGCAATGAGGTAAGCCAATAATCAAAATGTAACAAAATAGCTTTTAATAAAAATACTTAATCTTTTTTTCAAAGTTTACATTGTCAAACAACAAGTCTAATCCTCAGCTTATGTTACTTTCTGTAAGGGAAAAATAACTTGGAGCAGGAATCTGAATTCTCTGTGTTATTCATGTCTTTCTGTGTGAGTACTTATTTTAAATAAACTATACAGCACCTTTTTTACATGGACAATTTCTTTCTACTGTCCTCTTTTTTGAGGGGGTGGGGAATGGAAGAGTGTATTTATTATCTTTAGAAGCCTTATGTTCTTGCTCATGTTCCATTTCAGGCTATAATAAAGACATAAATAGCTCTAAGATATTCCTTTGTTTGGAGTTCAGACCTCTTTACTCAGAATTTGGCTTTGGTGAGAGACTGATTGAGTAGCAGGAGCTCTCCTTTTTTTTATTTTATTTTAAAGCTGGTGAAGGGACTGTGTAGCTTCAAACGTATCTCCAAGAGTTTTATTCTTTGCGTGTACGTACGTATTCTGTACGTGAAATATAAAGCACCTCTGTGGCGAAGCTTTCCATGCATACCTGTTGTCAGTGAGCTTTGGACCCATCCGCGTTTCCGTTGTCATCAATAACCAAAGCTTCACTGGTTTCACTGGGAGAAGAATTGGGTATTTCCATTGGAGTCACCTAAACTTACTTTTCTCATCTTTTTGATTTAAAAAATGACTATGGCATCCTTGAGAGGACTCCATCCCAGGGAGTCTTAAGTCATTTACTTGCTACCAGCAAAGCTTCTAAAGGAGACAAGGAAGATATTTTTAACTCCTATTTCAGGACTGCTTTCATTGCAGGTAGGTGTTACATGTTCGGGGGAAATACGTGTTTTAATCTGAATGAGGATAAAGCTCCTGCTTCCTATGTTAATTTTTTAGCCATTAGACCTTAATAGAAAAGATGGTGGCATCAGTTGCATTTTTTGCAGCTGTATGTAACTAGGGACATAGCAACTAGGACATAACAAATGAGGGACATAATACAGGGACTAGTATTAGCTTTTTAGAAAAAAAAAAAAAAAAAAGAAAGAAAGAAAAAGGGGGGAAAAAAAAGAAAAAGAAAGGGCTTATTCT